TCGGTGAATAGATAGGTTTTTCTCGTCGTGTACAACAAATTCTGTTTCAGTGTGGTGTCACCAGGCCCAGAACGAATCTGGTTTTTGTCGCAAGGTGCTTTTCTCGGCCTGTCCACTGCTGTCCACGCTGAGGGATGTGAGAACACTGGAGAGGAATCGCGTTGAGTGGACTCTGCATAAGCAACATTTTGTAGAACTCAATTGCACCTTCGGAGAAAATTTATTAGACGCTTGCGATTTCCGAGCCTATTGCACTAACCCAGACGCTCCCCCATATGTAAGCCACTGCCCCTAGCGCTCCGGTGCCAAGCGGTGAAACTCGACGCACATGAGCTGGTGAGAGGCTGTGGAGGTTGATGCAGATGGCACAGGTGCCACAATACACTGTAGCCACCACACAGTGCCACGTGGCAGACATGATATCTCATTAGGAGTGAAAGGCCCCAATTGTCACAGTAACCGCCATCTCACTATTTTGCAAATCTTTAGCACGATTTTTAGTTCCTGACAATGCAGACGATGTTGGGGCCAGCACGGTTGACTAATTCGTTTCATTTTGAGTTGAAGCGCATTCGACGCCACGGGCCGATGGAACAAACCCAACGGCGTCAAAAGAGCGACATCGTAGCATTTGTCATCCTTCTGTACATGTTATTTCATCGGCTAAATCGATCAAGCGCAGTGAACTTGCGCTTTTAGTACGCGTGTTCGTGGACGTACAAGTCCGAACCTTCGACTGTGCTCCGACCAACGTTACTAGAACAACTCGGTTGAGAAACTGCCGTAGAGCCTGCTTTGAAAAAGTGGCTTCGATCGGAACTCGAGAACCGAACTAATAGCGATCGCAATGCCACCATTTCTCCCGCAGCGGCTACTCCGGAAACTGCACGTATCGGTTCAGGTCGAGTCGCGCAAGGGCCAGTGGCGCCATCGCAGTGCCATCTCACACGTAGCGAATAGTCATGTTTTGACTAGTCGCTAGGGGGTGGCGCTATTATTGTATTTAGTTTGGTCTCGGTGGACGTGAGCGGTCCGGGTTTAAAGGGCGAGATTCCCAACTGAGTGTTTTAGTAACAAAGGCTCTGACCTAAGATGAAACCAACTATATGGTGAGTAGAGAGACTGTGGAATGTGTATTTGTACATATTTCCTACCACAAAATTTTGTTCCTACTAAAAAAAAAAAAAGAATTTACAAGGTTGTGTTTACTATAAAAAAAAAGAAAAACATTGTTGAACGCTTTTTTTTATACCCAAATGCAGCGCTAGCGGTTTGAACCAGATACCAAAGTTTCAGAACTAACGGTTTTAGTCTGAAAAAAGATTGGATTGATTTTCTGAACCTTTCAATAGGAAATTGGCAGCCGACAGATCCCTGTACAAGTAGCTGAAGGGCACCAGTTATCAGGAACAGGCCCCATTTTTCCACTTTCACCGCAAAAAGAAACGATGCAACGCATTGCATTTTTTATTTTAGAAAAAAAAAACTGAATTCTTTTGAGGGGATAGGTTGCACTTTGAGCATTAGGGTGAACCAATAATAAAAGTTATTTTTTGCTTTGCTTATTAAAGGGGCTGTGAAATGAATTTAGATTGAGATTTTACTAATCGCATATCGTTGAGTGGGCCAAAAGAAAGAAGGGTAAAAGTCAAAAGCCTGCTTTTCAGTACGAAAATTTGAAAACAGCAGATTATTTCGTACTTCCTTTCCTTCGAAAGCTCTCTTTTTCACTGCGATACATCCGCGGTACCCAAAGTGCGTCGATCGGCCCCAGCTCGCACATTGGACATGAGCACTGCGTCACTACACTAACTCACTCAGTCCGTTCACCCCCAAGCTGACAGTGCGGCGGGAACTACGCGTTTGCCGAACCAATCAGCCGCCTCCCTCTCATCACCCAATCCCATTTAGTGCGCAAGGGAGCGTGATCACCTGGCAAAACATCAAAGCGTGACGCCCAACAAGCATGTAGCTTCCACAGCACTATCAGCTTGGGGGTGAAGGGAGGATAGTTGCGCGCAGTACTGAGGAAGCCACGGGCTGGAAAAAGGGAAAAGCAACTTTTGTCCGAAATTCGAGCAACGGGCTAATCTTCTAGGGGAGAATGGCGATGTCCGGGTACACAAAAGAGGATCCAAACAAGAAGGGAGTTCCTCCCTTCCCTTCAACTGTTAGCGGTATACTCTTGCCCCCGAACCTTCGGCAACGCTGCACGATTTGTGAGTCGAGAAGAAAAGCTAAGAAGGAAGGAGTTAATTTCATGGCTCTTTTAAGTCCATCTGGAGCAGAGGTTGCACAATTCTTAGCCAAAAAGCAGACTTTTGTTCATGGCGCAAATGGCGCACTTTCATCGCTGTGTATATTCACAAAGCTGAGAAGCGTACACAGTCGTTGAACGGCACTCAGCTCCTATAGAAGCGAAAAGCCTGACAAGTCAAATGACAGCTTTTAGAAAATCAAAATGTGCACCTCAAAATAAAGCAGCCAAAAAAAAAAACAAAAAAAAAACAACATAACTATGAAGATTGATAAAACTCTTTGTCCCGGACACTCCCGGGCTTTTATTGAATGTCACTTCTATTAATGTACATAAAATTGTTGAATAAGGCACAACAGACTCGTATTTTAATAGCGAGACTAGTGACAAGAGCGTTTCCACCGCCACGTAAAAGGACAGGAGCTCCCAGTGACTCGCCACAACTCCGTCTCAAGAGTGTAAACTCAAGGACGGACACAAAACGATGGAGACAAGGTCGAGATCTCGCATCCATTATTCTGCGTCGGCGTCCCCATCCCTAAATCTTTGGTTTCGAGCTTGAGGTTGCACCAAACGAGCCTATTCGAGCAACGAGGGAGGAAAACGAACTGCGCCGTAAATAATTTGCTCTCTTCATGGTTTCATGCGACTTGACAAAGGTGCAGAAGACACAGTGCTCAGTCCCTGGCTTTGAAAGTCTCGAGCCGTGGTCACGCCGCTTGAATGTGCTCGAGGCACGTCCACAGACAATTCTGCCATTGTGTCTGCAGCGAGTGTCACGTACAGGCAGAGTGTCACTGCAGCGTCGTAAGTGGCAAACCAAAATATGTCCCAAAACAGTACTTGTTCCGTAAAATCAAGCCAAAGGGCCAGCACTTCCGGAAAGGGCGAGCCGAGATTGGCGCACCATACGGAAAAATTTAGAGGCTCGTCTCGCTTCCCGTAAAACGACTAGCAGAAACGTTTGGTGTACAGCGTCTTGGTGTTTATCAAAAACCCAAAACAACTATGCTAAAAAAAAAAAAAAAAAAAAAAGCTCAGTATTTTTTTTAGCTGAATGCAAGCAAGGAGCTAGGAACTTCGAGAATGAAATGAACCACTAAGTTGAGATATGCCATATTGCCGCGCGCGCAGCTGGCCAAGGAGGCAGCGCGCGCGTGGCCTAACGGTTTATTGTGCCTGCCTCCCACGCGAAAAGCCAGAGTTCGATTCCTGGGAGCGACTCATCTTCTGTTATTCCTGCAATTTAGTTTTCTGGTAAATTCCAGAATCCTGTTGCGTGTTCGAGGTCCGAATATTCTACGCGTCGAACATTCTACGCCGATTATTCCAGAAGCTTACGCATGTACATAAGGGGCTCCGCGTGGCGAACCGCAGTCAGTCTCGCCCCAGCGTCCAACTCTGCTGTTACGCCGACTTCAACGCCCGTGACGATCAGTTATTATCTTTTGTACCCTTTTATTTTTGGCACAAGTTCGCCACATTAAATGTTTATTTCTGTATATTTATTGTTTTTTCGGTCACCACCCGTGACATTATTATAAACCTTATATGACGATGCGCAGGTAGGAAATGTTTGAAACATAAAATGTGTAAACAATTTTGGAGAATTTTCACCCAAACAATAGATGCAACTAACCCTCTTAGCCGCGACACAAATTTTTTTTTTTTTTTTTTATGCGTTTAGTTTTGCGGTTGCGTCGAACCAGTTGTATTTGCATCAACTGCTTGTTGGATGATTCCGTATTTCCCTATTTTTGGGCTATCTGTCAACAGCTGAGCATGTTCCACAACCTGGAGAACTTTTCTGGAGTTGGGGCACATAGCAAGGCCTTGACTAGACCTAAAGTGGGAAACATGCGTGTAAGAATTGTTACGTCATGCAGCACAGCGGCATAACCATAGCAACTGTCATTGATGCCACGATGTGGCAGTAGGGCATTCGGCACATCGACCGCATCATCAGGAGAGGTTACCGTGGTTACGCCGCTCGGCAACGCAATGCGATTTTCGTTAACACGTGTTTCACACTTAATTCTCAAGGCACCTACCGCAGCTGAGAAACAAAGGCTGCAAGTAGGAGGTACTCTATAGATACTTCGTTTGCTCGTAACATGGCAAAGAGCAAATGCTACAGCCCCCTAGAGCCATTCATAGCGACAGAGGCAAAGCACATGACAGCCTATAACAAAAGAATGGGGGCAAGAGTGTAACCCAGGGGTCTTCAAACCCTAGCCCGCTGCTGGCTGCGGTCGTTGCAGCGACCCCAGGCCCGCAGCCCATTTCCAGTAGGCCTCCTGCTGCTGGCGCAAAAAATATGTTTGTGTAAAGAAACGCGATGTCATCACGGTTATCAAACACTATGTATCTGTGCTGATTCTTATCCCGCTGACAGTGGTTTGCTATATTTATTGTCAAACCAGCATCTCCATTCTCAGTCGTTTTATGTCTGCGTAACTGCAATAAAGTGTTTTGTGTTCTCACGCAGATCGTGCTTAGTGCCTCGTGTCGCACACATTGCGTATTGTCATCACCAGTCTCATGTGAATGACAATGTTCATATTCGCTTTGATATATGCCCAATGAATTTTTGTGGGCCTCTATTATTGCATGCAAGTCTCGCTATTTCCATCTAGGTTTTTCGATTTTTTCTACTTTTAACTTCACTTTAAATATCTGTATTAAAATGCTTATATATGTCTATTCATTGAGGTGTTTTTCTTTTTATTCAAATTTAAATTTATTTATTTGTTGACCTTTGAGGCCGTGACAAGCATCTAATCAGGCCCTTCAGCCATAAAGTTTAGGGAACCCTGGTATAACCTAAGCAGTTGAAGAGGCGGGGAAGGAGGAACTTGCCTCTTACCCTACTTCATAGAAAAGTGGCTTTTCTCTCTCCTGTCCGTGACCTCTACGGCACTGTGCACAATTAGGGAGATCAATAATAGCCTTGTGCCTTCCTCCGACGCTGTGATTGGCTCACAGGGACCGTAGCCTTGGCCGTCTGCCCAGTTACAGTGATTCAGAGTATGACTGGTTTTGGAAAGGTCAGCCCCGACGGCAAGCAGACCTCCCGCTTTGCTCGCGCAACTAAACCTCGTGACGGTGGCACATACGAACGTGCCTCACCAGGTCGTCCTTGCGCGTGTACGCTCTGCCACAGTGCTGGCAGACATGGCGATCGCCACCGAGGTGAGTCTTCTTGTGGCGCCTCCAGTGTGAAGAGTCCGTGAATGTCTTGCTGCAGACATCGCACTTGAAGGGGCGCTCGCCCGTGTGGATGCGCTGATGGGTCACCAGGTGGTCTTTGTTCGTAAAGGCCTTCTCGCACACTTGACAGCTGAAAGGTCTCCCTCCCTTGTGCATTCTTTCGTGGTTAAGGAGCCGAGCCCAGCTGTCGCTTGAGTACGTGCAGAGGCGGCACTGGCGGTGCTTTCCGTCGTCCTGCGGGTAGTCGTCTGCTTCGCTCCACGAAAAGAGGCCGCTGCTGTCTTCGCAGTGGAAGATCCTTCCCGCTGCGGCACGGGCTCGATCTTCCCGATCTGCAGGAAAGGTGTAATCGTGTCTAGGTGCAAGTCCCTATAGGTCAATCCCGACGTGCATCTTGAAAGGATGTGAATTCAAAGCCGACGTATGAATGCCGGCCAGGCAGGAAACTGTCTTAGCCTTCCCCATTCACAAACAGCAAGGACGACAAAGAATGGGAAGGAAACAAAAAAGCGGGGAATGTAAACATTCGTATTTGTCGCAAGTACACTTCTGGTCCTATCGCAGCTCATAGTTAGGGTGAACCATGGACTTCGTACGAAAGCAACCCCTGTAAGCTTCTTTGCAAGTGCCAGTTCCTAACTGTTGCTTTTCGAACACGGGGGCAATAAAACTGGAACTCATTTCTAAAGGCTGGTTCGCGCATTTGTGTTCTCTCGCGGTCGAGTCCTCTCGCGGTAGAGTCCTCTCACAACCGCCGAACGCATCGGCGCACTGGTGCCGTCTGCCGGGCAGTCCTGAAACGATTCCGACATGCGTATTATTGAACTGAAGATTTTGGCAGTATTTGCAAGATAAAATATATGCACTATTAGAAATAGTTGCTTACAATGAGCAGTAATATACTGGCTAATTTTTGACCTATTGGAGTCCCCAATGATGCCTAGTTTGAAGCCTCTACAACCAGTAATATTCTATATGGTGAATTTTTGGCCTATCATATAGTCCCCAAAGACATATAAAGCATGCACAAAAAATTTTTCATTCAACACATTTCTGACTAGTATCTAACGATACAACACTTAACAGTCAAACGGGCTACTCAATCCCACCTACAGGACATTAAGAATGTTTAACTAGAATATAAAACCATCTAATTAGAGCATAGAACCAAGTGAAGCAAAACACAGAAAAAAGTTAAGTGTATACCAGTTTTACATGCAAAAATGTTTCTGACATGTAACATTACATTTTATTTGTAGAGGTCCATAATGACACACTTTTTTCAGTAAAAATACTGATAGATAAAGCATTCATATTCTTGGTCACTTCAACACTGAGAAATGCGTGCTGTCAAAGAAAGCAAAAGAAGAAAATGAAAGAATAAATCGGGTTTTGATAGAAATTAGTAACCGCCTCTACACAAACCAGAAAGCAAGACCATGATATATACTATCTCGCCATGGCACACAAAGGAGCCTGAAAGAAAATAGTGTCCATGTCCTCCACCAGACTCCTACACATTGTGTGGGAAAGTAGGCACCAGGTTTCCTCACTGAGAGGATGACATTCGGGCGATCACAGTATCCTGTCGGGGGTTGTGTGTGTCCTCCTCTCATCGGCCGTTATCACCCTTCCGCTGCAGTAACGATGGAAGCTCTCCATCAGAGTTGTTGCTTCCCAGCCTATTGAGAAAGATGTGGAAACGTTGAGTTCTTTCGCTCCGATCAACATTTGACAGGCATTCTTATCTGAACAGAACAACAGCACACAGAGTAACTTCGAGCTTTTCGCTTCGGGGTCGGTCTCCATGCGATGGGTTTTGTCATTTTAAACTGTTCATTGCCTTAATTTCTCATGTTGCATGTTGCAAGAGAGTTCCGACAGAGAAATGTCATTGAATATGGTGTCCCACTCCGCATAATCTGCGCGGCCTATTATCTGCAGCACAGACGTAGAAGAAAAAAGTTACATGGGCATTTTCCTGTCGGAACTTTTGCCACATTTACGCGAAAGAAAGTAGTCACTGCCGTGCTTCACAATAGTGGCCACCTCAAAAGAGCCTACCTGGTGAGAGAAAAGGAATGTTCTGTAAAAACAACATCCGCCTGTGGTGCAAAACAAAAATTGTAATGATAAAAAGCTTTAAAAAATCCTGCATCTTTCTCCAGACATGTTCATTTAGTGGTGTCAAATAAGTGTCTAGGGTGACCAGACTTCCCATCTTGGCCGGGACAGTCTTGTTTTACAGGTTCAGACATGTTGTCCAATCATTTTGTGTGAATAAAATCAAATGTCCCATTTTCTTTGTGTGAATAAAATCAAATGTCCCATTTTCTTTGTGTGAATAAAACCAAAAGTCCCATTTTCATGGAACTTCCCCATGAAATCAGTACCAAACAAATGAAGAAAACAAGAACAACTTGTGATAGTGTATTAGAATAAACATAAAAAGATACATGTTATCTTAGGGGGCTATTTTTTATATTACTAAATTTGGCATGCTTAGTTTTTGCGGAATGGGTAAGAAAGGTGCTTGTCCACTCAACTACTCAACGAAAAGAAAATTGTTTTCATGGTTAACTGAATAGTAGCAAGCTTTCTCTTTTTGTCTCACTTTGTACCCACATCCCCCTTCACTTTCCGTTGTGTCCCGCTTTCTACTTAGACAAGTATAATCACCTTAATTAGGTTTCTATTTAGGCATTGGAACTTCGATTTAAAAAGGTTACAATAAACAAAGCAGACATGCTGCTCATGGTATAGAACTGCTATATTCATAGCTATTAGGCGTGCAAGTAGGAAAACAAAAACAAGGCTATGAAAATGTTGCTTCCGCACCAGTTGCAAAATCCAGCAGATTCCAGGTTCCGTGTTTTCGGATTTAATTTTTGGTCAAATTCGGAGGGTGTTTTCTGTAGGTCATTTTTTTACAAAAGATTCCGAGTTTATTGGAGTTTATTTTTGTTAGGCTCTCAATTCTCCGAAATTCGGGGTTTCATTTTGCAGTGTTTTCTATTTTTCACAAATGAACTATAAATAACATTAGGGTATAAAAGTGTACTAGATTAAAAGTATTAAAAGCTTGTATCACAATTCAGCTGGATTTGGCGCTCGCGCCCTTGTTGCCACAGGCAATAAATACTCTGTCCCGCGACGAAACTTGCAAACAATTGTTGCTTCGATAGACGTCGATACCATAAAATCACTAAACTCCTGGAAGTAGTTACTGGAAAGTTAATTTTTATCTCATCCTATTTCATTACTCTATCCCGCGGTTGTGTAGGGGTGAACTACTAAACGGTGTAGTATAGAAGCTTTAACTGCGTCCCCTTTGCCCTTCCAAAAAATCTCTATGGTTCATAGCTTTCACTGTTACCAAAAAATCCTGAAAACCGCAACGGTGGCTTCGTGACCTGTACAGCGGCTGTGGTTCTGAATGAACCTTGACGAGAAACAACAAGACCTCTTATTTCTGTGATGCAAGATTTGGAAGGAAACTGGGGTAGAATTTTTGCAGGACCCATGGACTTTGTGCTCTAACCAAATGTAATTTCTAATTTTTTTTTTATTTTTTTAAGAGGGGGGTGGGGGGGGGGGAGTAAATTCCCTCTTCCTCCCCCCCCCCCCCCCCCCCCCCCTCTTCCTTCCCTCGGCATGGCAAGTGCATTGAAAAAACTTCCTGGGTACACGAGCTTTGCAAAATATGGATTTGTTCCTGCACCCGGCTGCGACCAATCCTTATCCTTCAAGATACAAGTATGTCCCACTCGGCTTAACGCTCCTTTTCTGTCGTTTTTAGCGCGCCAGCTTGTTATGTTCTACCCTGTTATACAAGATGAGCAGCAGGCAAACGCTGGCAGCAGGGCACGTTCGTCACGTCAGTTTTTGGTGTGGAGGAGGGGAGGGGGAGCTGGTATTATCACTCCAAATAAACATGCATGCATTCCTATGCTAACGAAGACGATCAACCAAGATCTCGCAGTTTGATAAACCTACGGCGGAAGGAAAAAAACAAAAACACTCGCCGGTGATTAGAAGTAACATCAAAAGGCTGCACACGGTTTCACTGGCGATCTGCCAGGGTAGATGTGAAAGACCACACCGACATCAAACCTGGGCTTGAAAAGCGCCGCTCGAAGCACTCGAGGATACCGCTGGCACGTGTCCCACAGTATACCAAAACGTATAGTGAGAAACTGTGAGACACATAAGCCCTGCTTCGATATTATATTCGCTAAACTTAAAACCAGCCTACAACGCCTACAACCACAAAAGTAACCTGGAACAAAACCGCAACCCGATAGTCTGCTCGTACGCAGCCGCCATGTTGTCGTCATTGTCGTCTGCTTCACCGCGCCGCCACTTGGGAACCGCTGCAATCTGCCTCTTGAACTTTAAGTAAAAGTAATACTTTTAAAATTGTAATTGCACCAACAGACCTTTTTTAGTAATACCATGCTATAATCTATCAGAGTTTTGAAATACCTGACTGTTTTTTTTTATTATTAATTAGCGCGGCGTCGCAGGAAGTTTTTGGCAACTTGGTTTTCTGCTTCGTCGCGGCCATGGTCGCGGCTCTCCTCAGCTCAAATAAATATTAAGATTATTTCATGCTTTCTGCTTCACCCGTGTGCATCTCTCGCAAACCCGAGTTTCAATGTCGCTTTTAAACAAGCCTTTTTTTTAGATATATATATTCTCTTGCCTCAGAACATTTCAGTGCTTCTCTTGCCTCAGAACATTTCCGCTGTCGTTGTGTTTTTCGCTGTAAATAAATTAATAAAAAAAAAAAAAAAAAAAAAAAAAACCCGAACGAAAATTGGAATTTAGTTGGCTTCCTCGCAGCGATGCCTTGACTGCACCGCGCACCGCCGCAGACAGGGCTATTGCTTTCCCGCACGTCACCGCTGAGCAGAGGAGAAACCACCCTCCACGAGTGACCGTGCGGGTGTCTGACAATAATATTAAAAAAAAAAAAAGCTGTAGCTGTACCCTGCGCTGTTTCTTTCAGTCAGACAAAAATGCTTTAAAGTTGCTTGGTTTTGTCTCAAATTATTGCTTTATGTACACCCCCCCCCCCCTTTTTCTTCTTTATATATTGCCCAGGAAGGTCTTTAGGATAAATAAATAAATAAAGTATTCTTAATAATACGATCATTTTATTCTAATAGAATTAAAATCACTTCAACCAATGCAATCACCAAAATTGCCATTTCTCATGTCGCCAAAGAAAGGTTCACGGGGTTCTAGAAAGAAAAAAGGCTATTGAACTGCAAGTTAGGTGATAGCTTCTGCTTTTTGATATTATTATGAAGGTATTGTGCATTTCAAATGCAGCCAAATATCAGGCAAAAAAAACAACAACAAAAAAAAAACTTGAGGGCAGAGTCTGTAGTTCATTTTTGTTATATTTTTACTTAAGAATGAACTACACACTGTATTACAATAATGCAGGTTTTGTACTGTATTACAATAATGCAGGTTTGGTACTGTATTACAATAATGCAGGCTTGGTACTGTATTACAATAATGCAGGAAGGCCATCCAAGATAAAAAAACACACCTTATCTAGGAGAACCAGAACACAGCATGCGATATGACCAATCGCTGGCGTCTCATTCGCAAGGAGTTAAAATGCTGCTCTTGCAAACATTACAAAAAACATTAAATATAGAAAAAAAATGAAAGCACCCCACTAGGAAACATACGTCACAAAATAAAGTGTTCCTTTACAAAAGGAATTTTAAGCGCAATATTTATGTTGCGAGACTAATCTTGAGTTAGGAGCAAATGCTAAAACATGCTCCTATATCAAGGTCAATGTCTCAAAATAGAAGCATGGTTAGGAATCACTCAAGACATGCTTTGCAGTGTAAACATTGCACAAAGTAATTTTTTCGGTGAAAGTTTGTTTAGTGGTGTGTTGTATTTAAATACGAGCAAATACTACATGGTGTACATCTCCTACCCAAACACAAAGAAAAAAAATTTACGGGAGAGTCTAGTGACTGTTTAACTGCACCAGAGTGTGTCTAGGCATAGCAGAAACTCATGCAGAAAACTGCGGCTGTTTAGACACCAACCTGTAGAATTAAAAACATTGGCAAGAACGAAACTGAACTTGAGGGCGATTGTTTTGCATAATTAACACAATTTGTCAGAATGCTCATTGTGAATGAAGCATGGGCACTCAATCAAACTGGACAGTCTAGAAGAAAAAAAAAATTGTTTGAATAAGTTAAAATGGTAGGAGTGAAGAAATCCAGGGATATGATGTAATATTTGTAACATTTAAAGTTTGCAACAACTAAAAAAGAATGCAATGTTAAAAAACAAAAATGTTACTTGGGTAATAAGTGACAACTTTTTCTTCCCTCGGATAAAACAATTTTTGAAAATTTCCTTACAACATACTTGGCAAAAAAAAGTCAATATTTTAACTGAACACAAGCAGCGATAAACATGTAATCTGACTGACAGACATGAACGAACAGACAGATTGTAACTACAAGCCTACACATATACCAAAAAAAGTTTTTTTGGAAGGTACCCAAACAAAATACAATTTATGCAGACCTAATTTCTATGAACGGAAAAAGATCACAAAATATCATGACTGTGTTCGTTAACACGAAAGGCTGAATGACCAACCACGTCCTTATCACAAGATATTTTTCCCGCAAACTTTTGGGCAAGTTAAAAAAAAAAAAGAAATGTTAAGATGCAAACATGTACAGGCATCGTACACCAGATTTTCTGTAATGAAAAAACAGTCAAAGTGCAGGTAAGATGGCTGTTCATCGTGTTCATCATGATAGTAAGACCCAAGACTAGGGTGGAAAAAAAAACAAAGGAACGCACACAAAGTGGAAGTGATGGGTTTGTTTTGTTGTGTGCTCAAGTTTTGATTGGAGAACTTCCCTGGTGTATGAAAGTGTCCTTCCAGATACAAACTGTGCATGGTCAAATGGCCTTTTATTTTTCGTCAGTTTGTGTTAGGACGGTTGTCAGAGTTTAATGTTCTAAAAGTGAGCAGGTTGCTAAGGTCAGGGTGTCGAACTGGAACTCATTTTGGTTACAGTTCGTGTTACGGTTCAGACATTTAAGTTCGGTTCACGTTCAGCTCCGGAACAGAAAAGAAAAATGGTTCAAACAGGTTTGAACCGGTTCATAGTAATTCATCTAGAAGCCAACTGCTTAATGTAGATTCAGTTATTAATCTTTAAAGTGCTGAAGAATAGGATCGAAAACAGAATTGTTACGAAGTCCCCCCCTCACCCCTGCCTTTACTGACATCAGGGAGTTTAACGTAAATCAACCATCAAAACAACTACGGATCATTTAACATTGGAGGGAAATGGGCGAGTTTCAAGCAGCGCTTATGCCTAAGCACTCCACTTCGCGTAAACCTGCCCTTTTATTTTTTGCAGTAGTTGCAGAATATAAGGTAAACACAAACTAATTCACAGCCCAACCTTTTAGGCTTTCTGGAATGCAGTTAGAGTCACAACCACTCTTTGGATTTCTCTCCTTTCTTATCACAAAATTATGTCTTTTTACTGGGATAACAACTCCGTAAGATGCGAGACCTCATTTTGAAGCAGACTAGACGTTTTTTTTTCGGAAACACGCCATATTTAAGTTATAAAGATCTCAGTTTCTCCGACAGCGTTCATGCATCGAGCTCATTTTGCTCTATTGTTCGCATTAAACGACTAAAAAAAGAGGACGTCATCAGCATGTCTGGGTTCAAAAGGTTTGTTGACAATATAAAATGTACTTCAACCTTGAATAGGGGCGCTCTCCAACTGACTTGGGTGAAAGGTACCGCAGGAGCGATGACAGGAAGTGAATGCAGGTTGGGAAGCTGCTATGTCTCGTTCTGCCAAAAATGGTAGAATATCTGTATCTTTGCTTATTTGAGGCACACGCTGAAAGCTGTCCGGAAGGCTCTGAATTTCCTGAAACTTTGGCGAAAAATTGCTGAACGCCCTCCAGTTCCTTGACGAGAGCCTCAAGGTAGTTGCCAGCAGAGGGATGCTTTTCGGAAGTTCCCAACGGTTCAGACAGCTCTGGCTGGGCACCATCATTTCCATGCAAGTAGCAAATGCTGCTTCGCTCTGCATCTTTCTTTGCCCATCAGGGCTACATGGTAGCGAAGGTCCAAGAGGGCAGCACAAAATGCGTTGTTCCCGAGCCCCCCCCCCAAGAGCTTTTCTCGCCACTTCATTAACCGTAGCAAGTAGGCCCACGAGGTGGGTATCAATCTTGGTGCTTTCGATTCGACACGTCAGCCACGCTCAGTAGAAGTCTCCCTGGATACCAGCCGCTTTCTCGACTGGATGCAGGGAGCTAACTACGTTGCTTACTGACACTTAGTCATGTTCGTTGCAGAATTGTTGCAGAATTCCTTTTGTTTGAGCAGTCATCGTATCACAGCCACAGTCGACGTCCAACTCGTAGTGCAATCAAGGATGTTTTTTTTGTTTTTTTTTCAGTTTGAGTTTTTGAAACATTGAGAGTGCGGTCTGCAACTATATTTTTCGGACTGCATTTCACACCTTTTCTTACAACCGATCGTCAGCTGCCTCGGACTTTGGTGCGTCGTGAACGACAAGCTGCAATGCGCGTTTAGCACAGAGCATGCTTTGAAGCAGAGGCCCACCGTCTGAGAAGGCAACGACTCCTTTGAACTCACCAAGGTGGGAGGCATCTGTTGAAAAGCCACTGGGCGCGTCGATGCCTCAAATCGGACTGATCCAATTTTATAGCGGTGGGAATTCCAGGTTCCGCTAGAAATGTATGCCTTAACCATGTTCGCTCCGTTGTCCATCGTTATGCTGTAAATTTGCCCCGTGTTAATTTAGCACCTTGAAAGTACCTCAAGAACTTTACTCTTCAAGTTCTCCACAGTATGTCGGTCAAACATTTCACTAATAACGAGTGTTTCCAAGTTAAGTTTGGCCTGCTAAGCCTACTGGAAAATAACGCCGAGAACTGAGCGTGCCAAATGCGTAGCAGTCATTCTTCAGTGACAGCAGCTGCATCTTTAAACATTGAGACCTTCTTCCTAGCAATCTTGGCCTTTTTTGCTGTGAGACGCTACTTGAGGCCGTTCAACGTGGGATCAATGATTTTTCGAAACCCAAAATCATCCATCAAGTGGAACGGAAGTCCGTTTGTAGTGACAAGCTCCACGCATGCATCATAATTGCAATCCCCGTTACGTCTACATTTATACTTGCGCTACGGTGAACGACAGTATTGTCGCGGTGCCATATTTTTACATTTTAGTTGTATTGATTTTTGTTGTGTTTGTAGGTTGTGACTCTCCTGCTTAGACCCTTTCAGGGTTTTCAATACTTGTAAATAAGCAAAAGATAAAAATAAAAAAATGACCCATTGCAAATTGTTTTGGAACGGTTTTTTCGTTTTAGTTTTGCTCCGGTTCGAGAAAAACAAGCGGTTCAGTTTTGGTTCCGGTTCTGGTACAACACCCTGGTTAGGGCAGCAAAGTTGAAACAATGGTTGACCCACATTTTTGCAATTCCTGTTTCCCTTTGCAAGGCTCTAAAAAAACGAGTATAAGCACCTTTCCATTTACGTTTACGACGACTTTTGAGAAAAACATATACAAGCCTGGGCGTCCGGAGAACTTTTTTCAAGGGGGGGGAGAGCAGACCGCATTTCTCCAGGAAGGGAGAGCCATGATTGACCAAACGGGCACTATAACATACAATGTTTTCGTAGGATCAAATCCATTTTGTCGCATTATTCCGCTTCTATCGACACAAATGAGACTAACACAGACTGCCAACTTTGACGGTGTTGATCTCATGAAGGGCTTCAAGCTTCTGCCGCACTCGTTACGCATACCAACGAGCTTGTCGTTCACTCTCCATAATCCTAATCGTGCCATCTTGACTAGAAACCATAGAGCCGTAGTCACACTGTTCATACGTCACGCAGAGAACACGGTATTTGCTGCACACACACAATGACGCAAACATCTGCAGACACGTTTCGAGCGTTTTCAAAGCATGTTTGTTCTATACACACACGCATGGTTCGCCTGCAGACAGTTTTTGTGCGACCAATGTGGCAGGACTGTCCTACAACAAAACACACACGCCTCACACAGTGTCTGCGGACTGAATTTTGAATGATGCACTGTCAGTGTGACTGCGGCCTAAAAGTATGTTACCGAAACATCTCGTTGCGGAATCCCAAGGGGGACCTCCCTCTGCACCGAACGCCCATGTACACAAGTAGAAGAAATAAACCTTGTGGTCAAATTCAAGATGTCTCTCCCCTTTTTTTTTTCCATCTCTTCACCATATACTTCGTTCTCCACCCCAAAGTCGGGCCTTACTATCACGACGAGCTCTTCAGCGTTCTTACGCTTCCTACGAGCCGAGCACCATTGTCTATGGCACTCGTTCGTCAAGCTTCTTAGACTAGGCGCACAGAGACAAGAAAAAAGTTCAGTTTCACCACGATCTGCCTCACGACGAGTGTCCGCTGCTGTTGCCACAGACTCAGAATGACACTGAAATACTATGTGCGGCGAATGGCAAACAGCAAACGTACGATCATCGTCCACACGCATAGTAATGAACACGTTCACGAAACTCTTGCCGTACACCACGTGGCCGAAATGTTGTGAGGCATGCGGCAGGGCCTCGAAGGTTATCCGGCACGATTAAGCTTGGGCGCACTCGCCGGAAGAAGGGCCAACGTTGAACACGCACTCACCACCCATATGCCTCGTTGCCGACACGTTCACGAGGCTCTAGCCACGTGCCTCGCAGCCAAGCAGTTGCGAGGCGTGCGGCAGGGCCCCGAGGGTCGTCTGGCACCACAAAGCTTGAGCACAGTCGCCGGACGTGAAGTCACCACCAAACACACAGTCATCACCCACATGCCTCGTCGTCGACCCATTTGAGAAGTTCTCGCCGTGTGCCTCGCAGCCGAAATGGAGCGAAACATGCTACAGGGACTTGAAGATCATTCAGCATTACAAAGCTTGGGCGCAGTCGCCAGAAGGGCCACTTCCAAACACACAATCATCACCCACATGCCTCGTTGTCAACACGTTCACGAAGCTCTCGCCGTGCTCCTCGAGGTTCAACACTTGCGGGGCCTGCGACAGGGTCTCGAGGGTCACGTGTTATTGGTAGCCGGGAGAAGGGCCACCGCCTAACGCACAATTGTCACGCACGTGCCTCGTTGCCAACGGGTTCACGAAGCTCTAGCCGTTCGCCCCGTAGCCAAATGGCCGCGAGGCATGCGTCTTGAGGGTCGTCAGGCTTGAGAACGGCTTACACGGGCGGCTTGTTGTTGTCGTGGAGCTTCAGGTGGCTCTTGAGGCTCATTCGGTGCGCAAACGCCCGCCCGCACGTCCCACACTCAAACGGCTTCTCTCCCGTGTGGACCCTCTGGTGTACCCGCACCTCGTACGACTGCGAGAACCGTCTGTCGCACACGTCGCAGCGGAAGGGCTTCTCGGCCGTGTGCGTCTTCTGGTGGCGGACCATGTCGCTCTTTTTGGCAAACGCCCGGTCGCAGCCGCCGCACGGGTATGGGCGCTCCCCGGTGTGCGTCCGCTGGTGGGCCGACAGGGCCGAGGACTGCGCAAACGCCCGCTCGCACAGCCGGCACTGGAAGGGCCGCTCGCCCGTGTGCACGCGTTCGTGGCGCACGACGTCAAACTTGTTGTTGCTCGTGTAGGGGCAGTAGCTGCACTCGAACTTGCCCTTCTTGGAGTCGTGCGCGTCCCTCAGGTGGAGGCTCAGCAGCTCCCCGGTCGGGAACAGCAGGCCGCACTCGTCGCAAAAGGGGAACTCAGTTCCCACGTCTGGGGTGATCTCTTCGTAGGCTGTCGGGGGAAGGAGGACGGGAGTTTAGGGCGATTAGCTTCGACATGCGTGGCGGCGGGACTCTTACAAGGAGTCCTAAACCGACGAAAAGGGACAGACAGACAGGCTAGAAGACTCAATCTGTTTTCCTGAGACTTTCACGGATGGAGAGACGACCTAGCATTCTCGAGACAATCTTCTTAAAGGGGCACTAAAGTGTTCCCTATTAAAAACGTGATTAAAGACTGCGACGTGCCTGTTTTCCTGCGATTTGATGCAGAAACCACGGAAAGCCGTCAGACGTGCCACACCCAATCGCGAGCAATCGCTTCCCACGCGGCAAGGGGGCCGACTTCAAATATATGGGATTTGTTAATGGGAACCAATCACTCACGATTGACTGTCGCACGTCTGCTTACACCTTCTGGTTTCTGCGCCAAATCTCTATCTTGGGCTATTTATAATGTTTAGAGCCTGTAGATTGCATTATAACCATAAATAGACGACTCCACAAACCACTTTAGTGGTTTATGAAGTTGTGAAGCTTACGAACAACCAGAAGTCGAGAACATTCTGCCTCGCATGCTGCATTTGAAGAGACTTCAATGTTCTTTTTTTTATGTCTTGGGTCTGCATCGCAAATTTCTACCAACTCGCGTACATGTCCGATCTCTGATTAAATGTTTTGTTCTAATTAAACAATTTCTTATTAAAGACACTTTGTTCATCTCCTCCTAAGGTTCTCCACATAGAAGTTCATCTTTCTATTATCCCTCTGATCCTCGTGTCAGAGTCCACTTTCCTTACAATTCAATGGACTATGCACCAAGTTTTCATTATTTCAGATAACTTCCAGCCCGCACAAAGCCAAGCACGAGATCATTTGATGCACACATTAAAGCCAATTTATGCACCTTGGCTTAAACCAATGGGTTAACAATTCTCCCTAAAACTCCAACTGTGCATAAAAAAAAAAAAAAACTTTAGCACACAGTGGACTTGTTTTCAAGTTGTCATTCTGCTTTTATTTTAGATTTATATTCGTAAAACTTGCACATCACATCAGGAAACAGCATGAACAAATAACAGGATCCCAACAATGGCCTCCTATTTCAGACACCGGAACTTATCATTTGCTGTCCAAGAATCTCCGAAATAGAGGACAGCAATTTCAAATAATTTGAAAACAATAACCACAACTGCCAAAGACAATAAACGGAGCTTATAAATATGCCAATTTAAGTGTCGCACCATCTCCGCAAGGTGAGGCAATTTTAGTCACTGCAGGTTTCAAGTGACAAAACAATAATATGAAAATCTAAACCACAACTCACTTTATAACAGGACATATTATGTACCTATTTCCAAGACCATGGTAAAATCAAGTATGTTCTAAATCAGGGGTCTCCAAACCCCGGCTCCCAGCGGCCTGCCCATCGGCCTGCGGCAGGCAGCAGTCCTTGAAGCGACACCTGGCCCCGTGGCTTCTATCCCTTCCAACTTTTTACGCTGCTCATAGTTTTGTGTCACATTTAATGCACATTGTCATCAACGTTCCTAGTCCCATTTTATGTCTGTGTAATTACATTAAAATTATTTTGTTTTTCTGTCTGATAAGTTGTGCGTGTTGCTATAATCATTTCTACCATTTTCATTATTTTTCTCCCATTTTCAAATATGCCAACGTTTGTAAATGCCTCGATTAATGCACGGTGAGGTTTCTGCGCTAGAACGTATGTCATAATCAGCCAAATATATTAACTTATACTATATATTGAACTGTATTACTCGTAGGTTTTCTCTTATTACACCATGAAGTTTTTTTTTACTCTACTTTCATTTTTTGTATAAGATCACTTTTCTCTACTTTTTTTTTCTTTTTCACATTTATATTAACGTGTTTATTTTCTGGCCCTCGAGGCTCCGACAGACACCTAATCCGGCCCCTCAGCCATAATGTTTGGAGACCCCCTTTCAAAACCGTATGATATGCAAATGCTCAAATTTTACTAACAAAAGAACAATGAGCACAGGCCTGCACAAACACGAGCACCCACTTTGTTTTTTTACAGTCCACAATTAGCTAAAGAACATGACAGATTCACAGACTAATATTCAAGCTGGTGCCTTTTCCCTTTTTCTTTTATACTACACAAATTCCTGTTATGATGAACACATGTCTCATTCCCTTCAGACGCTAAAGAACGGGAAGAATCAGCAACATTGTTCAATCCTCCTTCTCTTTCGGAAGTGAAGAGAAGAGAGTAAAGGCCTAATACCCCCCGCCGCCATCACCGAGGGTAGGTGAAGTCGCAGGAAGAAGGGCGACCGCCAGTCGCACAATCGCTGCTCGCGAACCTGTTGTTCTACGCGCGACCCTAGTCGGCGCAACCACGAAGCTCTCGCCGCACGCGTCGTGGCCGTGCTACGGCACCTTGAGCGCATCTCCGGTCAGTGCGTCTACCTTGCCTCAAACGCGGTCCCTCGATTCCTGCGTCGACGACGCAGCAGAAGTGTCACGCCGCCGCTCCTCTCAGACATGACTTTTCTGACATTGTATGCCATTGCTTCGAAACCACCTTCAGCACTGGCAGTACGCGGAGAGCAAGTCGCCTGCTTCTTGTGCAGGAGTTGCAGTGACGTCAGAACGATGCCAAGCTCTGACTGGTTTTGATTGAAAGGATAGCGGGTAGATCCTGATGCTAGACGCCTCGAGGTTTGCCCACTATTTTTTTCAACTAGCCAATAAGAGCTCCGTTTTCTGACATCACCGCAACCCCTGTGCACGAAGCAGAAGAACTTGCGCTCCGCAGAGGACGCCAAACAAGCTGGCCAGAGATGCATTTCAGGCATGGCCGAACGATTGCAATGCATGCGGTCGCACGGCGCGACAACGTCCCAGCCCAATGGCTCGTCGTCATCGCCGCCGGCAAGCTTCAGGTGGTTTGCACGGAACAGTCGCACGTCTTCCGGTGTCGCTGCATGCTGCTCTTCCGGCTGAACACCCGGCCGCAGCGGCCACACGGGTACGGACGCTTGCCGGTGTGGGTCCGCCGGTGCGAAAGCAAGGCCGAGGACTGCGTGAACGCTCGGTTGCACTGCCGGCACTGGAAGGGTTTCTCGCCGGTGTGAATTCGTTCGTGGCACACCACGCTGCACTTGAAGTTGCTCGAGTAGGGGCAGTAGCCGCACGCAAACCTGCCCTTCCTGGAGCCGTTCACGTCCCTCGGGTGGGGGCTTGGCAGTTCCCAGGTCGGCGAGACCACGCCGTACCCGCTGCGAAAGGAGAGCTCGGCGTCGGGGCTGATCTCTTCGTGGGCTGCCGGGGAAGGAAGGCATATTCGACGATTAGCTTCGACGTGCACGGTGGCGAGGCGCTTACGACAAAAAACCCAACACCGAGGGACAGATAGACAAACTAATGATCCCAAGACTCTCTTCTTAAGACCTCCGTGGATGGAGGGACGAGACATTGTTCTTGGGACTTCGATGGACAGACAGACAACCTAGCATTCTCAAGAACGTTTTCTTAAAGGGGTACGGAAACAAAATTCCAGCGCTCATTTTATAGCTTTAACGTGTCGCATGTTGCGGCATAACCTCGAAAATACATGTCTTTCGTTGAAAGGCACAAGCAAACAAATTTTAAAGCTAATTAAACTATCTTTCAATAAGCACCTGGTGGATGCATGTCGAGCCTATTTGGGAGGTAATCTAGCAACGTTGGGGAACTTGACACATAGTCACGTAGCAAGTTCCATTGAAGCAGCGCAGCTCTTTGGAATTTCAACATTTTCCTTCTTAGCTTTCCTGCCGCGCATTGTACCAAACAGTCCAAGAAGACGGAAAGGAGGTACTCCCCGCTTTGTCGGACCCTTGTTTGTGTACCCGGACAGCCATTCTTCCCCTAGAAGATTAGCCCGTTGCTCAAAACTCGGACAAAAGTTGCTTTCCCCACCCCGTTCAGCCCCAAGCTGACAGCGTTGTGGAAGCTACGTGCTTCTTGGGCCAGTCACACGCTCGTCACTTATGGGTACTTCGAACGGCTCGGTTGTAACGCGTTGACACTATTGACACCACCACAACGCTGATAATGCCACCAACGGCAAAGCTCATAACCACGCCAGCATTGCTACGTCACGAATGCGGGGAATCTTTTCTTTCTGTTTGTTTGTGCCGGATATTTCATGACGCATCGCACTCTCCGTTCGCAAATCTTCGAGCGCTCGCTCGAGTGCACCGTTTGGAACGAAAAATATTGCCAGTCGTTCAAAATGCAAGCATGCGATTATCATTTACGGTTATTATCCATCATGCTTGACTCATTTCAGAACAAAATTTGAATATTTCAATTTTTGTTTGGATGAAGACAGACGGAGATGAGACAGTCTTCCCGGGTCTTTTTGTGGACAACACAAAAGAACTATCTAACTGGCATGTTTCCTTTGAGGAGACTAATATCCTTTGTTGTAAGTCTTCGGTGCATGTTACAAACTGCTGCCACCTCGCATACCTGACTTATCTCTAGTTAGTGTTTGTCACTAAAGTATACTATCATGTACACAAAAAAATGATAAAAAAACAAAAAGAAAACTGTGAAACACTGAACAAGAGGAAGTGTAGCACAGACACAAATCTCAAGTGCTTGCATTTTATCATGTACACCTTGTCGAGCGCTTATTAATAATTCAGAATGCATCGCCTAGTCGGATTAAAAGCCATAATGAAAAGATATCCTTGTCACCTCCTGCATTCATGGCCGAGTCGCGAGTGATCCATGTCAGGAATATAATATTTTACAAAAGAAAAAAAAATATTTCGTTACCTTCTTCTAAGACTCTACACATAGAAATCCATATTCCTGTTACCACTCTGTGATCTTTGTCGGGATAGACAATTTGGTAAACTATGCGCCAAAGTTTTGTCATTTCACATAGCTTTCAGCCTACACGAAGCCAAGCACAAGACTATTGATGCAAACATGCAAGCAAGCCAACTTATGCAATGTCATGCCTTGGCATGAACTAATGGGCAAAAAAGTCTCCCCCAAAAGTCCAGCCGCATATAAGATCAGACCGTTTGTGCACAATGAACCTGTTTCCCTGTATTGCATCATTTTGGTTTTAATTTATATTTATCCTCATACAATCATACAAGGACAGCAGGAAAGAGCATGAAAAAAAAACCAAGATCGTAATGCCCCCATCATACCTGAAGAGTAATGATTCTTGTTATTTCTTCATGCTCTTTCCTGCTGTCCTTGTATGCAGTAAATGCAGCAACATGCATGTCCAAAGTAGAGACCAGCAGGTACATATAATTTGAAGATAATAATTGCAACCAATTCCTGATACAGGTGGATGCCTTGGTAGCCTTAGGTTAAACTTTCACTTTCAAGCGTCCTTATTTAAAGACCAAAGGAGTGAGTGCCACTGATTGTTAATAAAAGATGCTAGAAAGCAAAAACTGCTTCAAGTTTTTCGTATAGCTGTATAGGCATCCATCTATAATTGTAATAATGTAATATTGTAGGAGATGCGAGAGCACGGTAAATTGAAGTATGTTCTAAATGAGGGGTCTCCAAACTTCGACATGCAGGCCGAACCACGCCCGCGGAGTTCTTCCGACTGGCCCGTGGCTCGCCGCAGTCCTCTCAACGAAGCCCGGCCCGGGACCCGTTCCCAGCAAGTCCACTGCTACCGACGCAAAAACGCGCGTAAAGTGGCGCCGTAAAGTAGGCAAGGATACCAGAATAAAACTTGAGAAAACTGCCCATCGTAAGGCGTGTCCTTCGCCATATTATTCATTGGACATTGTCATCATTCTTAGTCCCCTGTTTCGTATTTGTGTAACTATGCGTGTTAAAATTCCTTTGCATTCCCATGTATATTGGGCTTAGAGTCTGTTGTCGTATCTATTGCATATTGTCAGCATCAGTTCTATCATTCTCACTAGTCTTCTGCCCTGTGTGTAGATTCCAAAGTTCCTACGTGCTTTGGCTTGTGCCTGGTAGGTTTTGTGGGTCCCAATTATTGGGTCATAATTATCTAAAAATTTAATCTTGAAATACTGCATATGTATTCATCCACCTTTTATTTGCTTAATTTTTACTCATAACTTTTAATTTTGTATTTATATGCTTATCTAGTATAATCAATTTTGTTTTACCTCATTTATGATTATTTATTTTTGTACCAGCCCTTAAGACAGTGACAGATCCTCCATCCGCCCCTTTAGTCAAAAAGTTTGGAGACCCCTGTTCTAAATCATACGACCTGCAAATGTTGGCACTTCACTTGAATACCAAGCATGTGCTTACGCTGACACGAGTTCCTATTTTGTTTTCCATACAGTTCAAAATAGGCTAGAATACATGAAACGTTTATAGATCAATACTCAAGCTAGTGGCTGCTGCCAATAATCTTTTGTACTATTACCGTAATATACCGCAGAATCGCCTGCTTCGTTCAAGCGTCCACTATTAACATTTTCCAAATTTGAGAATTCTTCAAATTATGCATTACAAGGCAACTCCACTCAATTCTGAAAATTTCGGGATAATGAGTGATTTCGCACTAAAAAGCCATAGTAAAACACACTTCATTTGCTTTGTAAACAAAGGGATATATAGTTTTAAACATAATTTTAAACACGAGCAGAAATCGAAACTTCGACTCCGTCCGGCAACATTGGCCTTGGGCTGCCAAGAACATGCCTATCACGTGGTGCAAGATGTCACGTGATCCTCTACGCAACGACTGGCGGGGTGGGGGCAGGCGTATGTCAGGATCAAGTGTAGTCTGCACCACACTTCGCTACGTTTTGGTGTCTATGACATTCGAAGACATCATCACAACTGCAGCATTAGTCTGCGCACGTAGTGTCCGTAGTGTGGACAAAACTTCCGAGAGACAATAATCACAAATGGTGAGACAACGGCGGTCGTGACGCGGGAGACTGTGGAAGTGGAACCATGGTGGGGCCGCCAAACGGCTCCCAAGAAGCACGCTTCGCAGGCACATTACGCCAACCACAAGGACACCGCTGAGCGCCAAGAGAAAACGCTGCTGATGTCACCCATTACGCTCGACCAGAAAAGTATGAACAAGCAAAGGGGGGCAATGGTGGCGACCTTTAGGTCAATGCTGGCTACGCCCATGCCATATCTTTGATTGCGCTTTTGGTTGTGCCTCAATTCGCCTGCTCGGGTCAGCCGATTTCGGCAGCCTGGCGAGTTGTACAGTTTGCCAGACCGTTTAAAGAACATTTAAGGCCCGTTCACACTCTTGCAAGAGACGAGACCCGTTGAAACCTCTTAAAATTTCTTCGGATAAGAGAACACACTGGCACTCTGGCACCATCTATGCGGTGACTCTGGATCTGCATTTTACAAGAGCGAAGGTTTTGCGGGATTTCCAAGGACTACTGTGCATAATACCTATACGAAAGGCTCGTTTATAACGTTGACAAAAGTTTTTCGAGCCAAGAAAAAAAGGATAATGCGCGAAAAAAATAGAAAATATGCCGGACCTCCAACTTTACACTGCTACCCAATAGATGGCACCAGTGTGTCCTCTCATGATAAGATATTAAGAGGTTCCAAGGCACCCGGTTTTAAGAGGTCGCAAGTGTGTGAACGGGCCTTTAGATAGAACTACGTCCTAATATTTCATATGTGGTCTTCCTAGGTGATACTGAAGAGGACTGCATTCATTCTTTTAAAACAAAAAATGAAGCGGAGTTGCCCATTAACCCAGTGGGTAGTAAAGATGTGGCGGACAATCCCCCTGTACTTTACGGTAATGCAATTAAGTCTGTGTAAGTGCTCCTTCGACATTTTATCATACTTCGTTTAGTGAAAACGCAACAAACAAACAAAGACTGCTTGTGCAACGCACAATCCATCTTAGGCCAACGCCGATCAATTTTTTAGCTGGCATTTGTAACGCACTAAACAACGGGAGCAAGCGGTAACACACCACAATCCGCTTTCTCCAGGCCTGCAAGCCTTCTCTCTGGGCAATAAACGAGAAAAGAGCGACGACAGTGAAGCCCCAAGATTCCTCGTCCCGCTGAGGTCGGGCGGAGTTGCCAGAAGAGGGCGACCGTCAAACTCAAAATCGTCGCATCACGTGCCAGGTCGTCCCACACGCAACTTGAGTCCACACACTCACAAATATCACGCCGCGCGCAAAGCAGGCAAGCGCCGCAACGCGCGCAGCTGTCCGACGCAAGGACGTCCGAAACGAACTGCTCGTCGTCGCCGCAGGGCTTCGGCCGGGTCACACGACGCCGTCGCACCTCTTCCAGTGGCGCTGCATGTCGCACCTCCTGCTGAACCCCCGGTCACAGCGGCCGCAACGGTACGGGCGCTCGCCCGTGTGCGTCCGCCGGTGCGAGATCAGGTTCGAGGACTGTGCGAACGCCCGGTTGCAGAACCGGCACTGGAAGGGTTTCTCGCCGGTGTGTATGCGTTCGTGGCGCTTGACGTCGAACTTGTAGATGCTCGTGTAGGGGCACCGGCTGCACTCAAACTTGCCTTTCCTCGAGTCGTGCGCTTCTTTCAGGTGGAGACTCAGCAGGTCTCGGTTGGGGAAGAAGCAGCCGCACTCGTCGCAGGACAGGCACTCGGTCAGCACGCCGGGAGCGATCTCTTCGTAGGCTGTCGGGGACACACGATTCGAACGGTTAGCTTCGACGCGTGGAGCAATGGGACGCTCGCGACGGGAGACGGAAAACCGACGGAAGAGGAACGAGCAGAGAGTGCAGAAGTCTCAAGACTGTGTTCTCCAGACTTCCGTCAGCAGACAGATGACCAAGTTTCAAAACACTCCTCAAGACTTTCATGAACGACAGAGTTTAAACATTTTTTATCTCGTATGCTTCCTTTGATGAAACTTCAAAGTCTCTGCTCTAAATTCTGGATTTGCATTACGAGTTTTCTTTACAAACTTACCTGCCTTATTTCCGATTCAAGGTTAGTCTCTAAAGGAAAGTTTCCTGCACACAACAAGTTGCTAGAAGTGGCATAAAAAGAGAAATGGGAATGTAACACAGACAAATGTTGCGTGTTTGCATTCTAATTCTCTTTTTCGACCCTGTTGTGCTATATTTAATTGATCAGAATACATCGCCTAGCCCAACGAAAAGCTTTAGTGAGAAGATGATCTTGACACCTTCTGCATTTATGGTCAAGTCGCTAGTGATCCATGTCAGGGGTGTTCAAATGACCAACACAAGCATTGCTTTACTACTCGCACACCCCACACAAGTTGCACATCAAGGAAAAGCATGAAAGGCTAACATGGCCGTAACACTGGCATGACATTTAAAGAAGTACACACCCAATGAACAAGCAGTACACACCAGAATTTGACATTCAGGTATCTCAGAAACAGATAGCAGCAATTGCAAATATTAATCACAACCAATCACAGATGTCGCTGGACGACTTGGCAACCTCAAGGTCAACTCCAAGTAAAATATATGCAGTGTCATAACAGGTAGGATACACAGATCAAAAAAGGCATACAGAGTAGTGCAATAAGCTTATATAAACAAAAAACGACCCCCCCCCCCCTTCCCAAGCCCAATTTTTTTTTTATTAATTTTTAACTCCTTGGTTACACCATGTATGTAACGAGACCCACTTCACTAAGCCATTAAAAAAAGGGCTCCGATAACAGCTCTGTCGGACACCAGCCACTACAGGCAGCAGTTCATCTCCATCCACCATCCAGCTGGAAAAAAAAAAAAGGTTCATTCACAATGTTGCCATGCGAATTGGACGAGTACGCTATGCATGGAGAGATAAAAAGTGACACCCGCCATTTTCAAAATACCCAACGCCACGTGAAGGAAAACTGGGTTCGAGGACTCCCAGGCCGAAACTATGTGCGCAATCAGGAAGGAAAGGGAAGAAGCATTTTAGAATGAATTTGGGGGCAAAACAATAAGCCAAAATAGGTAGAAAAGGGACACTGGGGGAGCTCAATCTAGGTCACCGCTCCTCAGTGGAGCCAGCAGGACCAATCATCATCGACTGAGGGAGTGACCAGACTCGTTTGAGCACAAGTTCATGCACTATCATGACAGAACCTCCTGAACCGGCAATTTTTAGAAATGGCGGATTCGGACGACGCAAATGTTATAGACCGTTTCAATCTAAATCTAACCGCAGCCGACGCTACGATACGACAAAGCCAATCGAACAGCACTAAAAGTGTCGTAGCGGCACAAATTGTTTTTGTGCATCTGCTATGGACGACTAAACCGATCACACAGAGTAAGCGCACTGCAAACCTGCACTTTTTTTATGTTTGCGATTGCTTTTGCCAGGGATCGCAAACCCACAAGGACCAAGAAAGACGCGATGACTCGGAGTGGAAAGGGGTATAGAACTTCTCATTCGTTCTCTAACCGTTGATGACAACCGTTCGAGTGCTCACTGTTGTAATCTGGTCTGCCACACCATTTTATGTGGCTACAAAATGCTAACGGCTCCATTTTGCGCACTACAAGTCCTGCCGTGGTTCCCAGGAGGCAAGTCACAGTTAGTTGCCTGTTAATTTGTTCAAGAGCTACGTGTTCACCCGCTGGAGTAAAAAGGAACTTGAGGGTATGGGTGTGCCGAGGCCTTTGGAAGACTGCTGCAACATGCCTAGTGTGTGCACGCATCTTAAAAGTGAGCTCGTGCTCGCAACTCGCTCTCGGTTCGGAACAGAGGCTGAAACAGAATATTTCACGTATGCACTCCAAAGTATGCAGAGAGCGCAATACGCATATACCGGCAAAATTGTTAGCGGGTATTCGGCCACGCCGGTACCTATTGGTGCCTCCCCCTACCCTCGGGGAGTACAAATAACTCACCTCGAAACGACGGTTTCCCTTTGCTGTGGTTTTGAGCCGGCCTTGCAATGACTAGACCAAAATTGCAAAGACGCTATTGTTAAATAAAAACAGAAAGAGTAAACATAGGGACGGACAGAACAGCTGATGTTCTGTCCGTCCCTGTGTTTATTCTTTCTGTTTTTTATTTAACTTCACCAACGCGCTCACGTCGAACTAACACTATTGTTCACGCTTGCTGTTACAAAGTTTACTGTTTAGCAACCTCAAACTATTAGAATTCTAAAAATACCTTCAAATTTCATAATATGTTGCAGAAAAGGAAAATTAAGCAAGACAAGCTCCTTTCGCGAAACCGTTCACTTTTTTAGATGTAGAACTCTACAGCCACAGCCTTTACGAAAACGGCCAGCCTAATGAGGTAAGAAAAAAGAAAGAAATATATTATACTTGGATTTCGTTGACGGCCCTAATTATCTCAAATTCTTGCACAGCACTGTAACGCACAAACTGGGCAAAAGAACGAGATATGTCGCACTGGAGCACGGACTTGAGTTTGTGACAGTCTCAAGTTGCGAAGACGGGACTCCGGTCAGATGGGTGTGGTGGGTGCACCTTTGAAAAACCGGCAGTCCAAGGATGGATAAACGAAACCAAGCTCACGGTTACCACGATTAGTTCACAACCAATTTCACGCAATCAAACTATTCCAAACACACAGCGAAAACGCATAACGATAACACAAAGCCACACGGCCCGATATTGCTCCAACACCTCGAACAAAACCTCTACTGGATTGAATTGGCTTCGTTCCGTAAGTCGATTTGCAGTCAAACTTTTTGATGGGATTGGCTTTGTTTTTCTCGAGGCAAAGCAGTTTTTGTTTCGGTTATCGCTCTCATCAAACAAAATGCACTTCTCGAGAACAGCTTATGCCCTTGAATAGTTCCCTTATTTCATCAGTCAAACTCGTTTCGGATGATACATTTTCAGGACATAAAAGTTAGCAGTGGGCCTAAAATTCATGCAACACAGGACGACAGAAGAAAAGCAAAAAATAAGGCCATCGACGGTATTTTTGTTAGCATTGTTCTCGCGAAGTCAGACTTACATTTTGAGCTATTTCGCGGTGATTTGTTAGATAGAAATTACACCTCTTGCTCGTGGTCGGAGTGATCATCCTGATGGGACATCCCTTCCTGTTCCGCTGGCGGCCATAGCTGTGTGCTAGCCTCCCTACTGTGTGCGCGACTGCTGAGCGCGTGCTGACGGCAAGCTTCCACAGTTCTCTTTCAGCGTGCATTCAACACCATCAAGACTGCCTGTCTTAGCACCCTATGTGACCTCGCTCTGAGCATGCGTTTAAGAGCACCCACAAATATGGCGTCCAGTGAATACTCCCTATACACGTTTGCAAGTCCGATCTCAAAGCGCCGCCATCTTCCTCAGTGGGGTGCGCTCTTGGGTGCGACCATAATCCGATTTCGACGCCTTAGCAAGGCATTATGACTCGTCGAAGCGCACCCCAGCCACGTATGATGGCAGCGCCCCACTGAACTCAGTGCAGCGCCCTAAAGCCGGACTTGCAGTTCAATTTTTTTTTTTTTTTTTAATTTTTACTATTATCTATTATTCCGCGTGGTGGAGCTGACATAAACGCCCTGGTTTAATTACGTCCGATGGACGGTTTAACGTCCGATGGTTTAATTACACGTTTATCAAGCGCTATACTTCGTTTCACCTTATGTTGTACCGCAGCGAAGGCTAGAAGCGCGAGCTCATAGCGTTGGCAGCTGCTCTTAATTCACGAGAGCGTGTGCCGCCGAGATGTGCCCCAGAGCAAAGAGCTCGCGCTTGTAGCCTTTCCTGCGGTAGATCATAAGGTGAAACAGAGTTAGCAGAAAGGCGGAGAGCAAGTCGTCTGCTTTTAGCACAGGAGTTGCAGTGACGTCAGAACGACGCCGAGCTCTTACTGGCTGATCGAAAAATATAGTGGGTAGACCCTAGCATCGAGCTCTACCGGCTCTACCCACTATCCTTTCAATCAAAAGCAATCAGACGTCGGCGTCCTTCTGACGTCACCGCAACTCCTGTGCAAGAAGCAGACGACTTGCTCTCCGCATAGTCAGAAACACATAAAAAATTCAGTAGATTTTCCGCCCCCAGCACGAGTTTTTAGCCTTTGATAATATTCTACTTTGCCTCACGCGCCGCCAAAGCACGGTGGAAAGCAACGATTCCGTGCAGAAAACGTTGACCCGGTGTGCGTGTGAAGGCTCAAGCCTACGTACACACACCCAGTCGATGTCTTCAGCACGTATTCTGTCCACGCGTCGACGCAACGCCCAGTGTTCGGTAGACCCACTGGGAGGACCCTGTAGACACAAAATTCTGATTGGCTATTAAAAAAAAAAAAAAAAAAAAGTCACATGACCCTATAAATTGAGTGAACTATAAATTCGTTATAATAAAACTATATTTGATATGTTGAATGCATTCTCAGATAATTATGTGCGACGTCGCAGGTCACATTTGACAAGAGGCGGGAGCATCACCGGAATCACTTTGTTGTCTGCGTTTCGACCTTTGTATACATTCTCTGGCTCTGAGTGTTCCTGCAACCTTAGCAAATACACTGCCATTTGTCGTGAATTCATGTTTCTGAGCATTAGTTTTCCCTTCTTGGTGTACTGTTGATTTTTTTTCATTATGTATTTGTTTCGCAAGATTCAGATTTCCTGTGTATTTCACTCAAAACTTGGCGTACAACGTGCTTTGATTGCTATGGGGTTCCTTGTGGAAAGACCTTCAGCCTTTCCCAATGCGGAGTGCAAGTTTGTCTGCTTCTTTTGCAGACATTGTGGTGACGTCAGAGCGCTGAGCTCCGATTGGCTCTGATTCAACGATTGTAGGTAGACCTCAAAGCAAGCTGCCTTGAGGGCTACCCACTATCCTCCAATCAGAGCTCTGCGTTCTGACACTGTCACAACCCCCCTGCAAATGAAGCAGACAAACTTTCGGTCCGCATCGGAGAGCAAGTTCGTCTGCTTCTTGAATCCGTTGCGGTAACATCATAACAACGCCAAGCTCCGATTGGCTTTGATTAAAAGGATAGTGGGTACAGTGGATAGACCTCAATTATAAATGCCACAAAGTCTACCCACTATGTTTTTTTTTTTTTTTTTTTCAAACAGTCAATAAGAGTTTGGTGTTCTGACATCATTGCACCCCCTGTGCAAGAAGCAGACAAACTTGCGCTCCGCATTGAAACCCGACGTGGCTGTCGAGATTCAGTCGATTCTTTTTAGCGACGATTAAGTGTCTGTCTGTCATGATCGCTGGTTTGGCGGCCATCCTCCCTAGGCAAAGTAGCCTGCGCGATCGGTGGACTATGGGTGGGCAGTCACTCCGTGCCAATTCTGCGGGAGCAGTGGCAGCAGTACAAAACGGGTTGGGAGAGCAACTCTTGCCGCAAAAGCCACAAGACAGGCCATGGTTTCATCAAACAGCCGAAAGAGGAGCGGGATGCCAAAGGATGGTGGCGTTCACTTCAGTGAGGTCAGTCAATGTGTTGGTGGTGGCCTTGTCACCTCATTTTTTTTTTAAATTATCTCTTCATCTGTCATTTAATTGCTGCAGCACCTGTTCTGAAAATAGGATTCAGGGGTAAATGTTTGGCAAGCAAATACTTCCAGTGGTAGGTTTATAGTTTAGCCTTAAATTTTAAGGTTTAGCCTTGCTTGTTTAGCTAAGACCACTAAATGCTCAGATTGCTGACATTGTTATTATATATATATTTTTATGTTGGGGGCTATTTTGCTTAACATACTCTTCGTCCCACTCCTACGAAATTCCCAATAGAAGGGTGGGCCAGTCAATGAGTAAAATCACATCGATCACTTCAGCCTACCTTCACAGTTTTGTGCTCGAACCATAGTTTGACCTTGCAACAGTGGCAACAAGGCCGTTGATCAGCTACGTGACCTTGGAGAGGGGGTGCAGTGTTGTGCATGGAGCATATCACGTTCACAGAGCTGGGTTTACTGAGATGTCTCGTAGTGTCTGCTGCGGTCAGACTTGATGTGAAACGAAGTGTAGACCGGTTGCAAAAATATGCATTGATACTATAGTTGTTGAAATAGGGAAAGTACTCTCAAATTACTGCTAATAAACGATTTTGCAAATGCCGGTGCCATCAGTAAGCACTGTAAAAAATTGTGGGAAATGCGAGCGCTCCCAGCCACCTTCGCTCTAGAATGTAAGGAAAATGAAAAAAAAAAACTGGATTCTGCTTGCTAACTGGACAATGTACAATATCAGAACTGTTTTTAATGTCAGGTACAGTGATGCAGATACTAAATAACTGCATGCCAGCAGGCATTTTTTTTCTGAGGAGCGCTTAACTGGTTGCTTACGTTCGAGCTAGCGCTGATGTCGGGACTCATCCATGTGGAGCACATAAAGGGGTGTCCATGAGCGCGAACTGCCATTATCTACACTTGTGTCACGGCGGTCTGATTTAAAGGGGAGAGGGTTCTCGAAACATCAGATGATAACGACAGTTTGCGTTGATGGGCTCCCCCCTATCTGCTCCGCATAGACGAGTCCTAATGTCGGTTCTAGTTTAAACGTAAACCACCAGTCAAGCGCTCCTTTGAAAGTAATGCCCGCTCACATGAAACTGTTTAATATCTACGTGCCTGTACATGGTTTATAAAGCACTTTAATTTGTTCTTGAGCTCCATACTAGCTCAGAAGTCTAGTTTCTAACTAAAAATGACCTGAGCAGCAGCCGCCAAGTAGATGATGTAGTTAGCAGTAAAGGACGTCATGGCTCGACGTTCTCAACGTCGTTCAAAATGCATACGACATTTTCATTCACATGACCAGCTCCAACCAATGCATGGCTTGCACTGACGTCGCATCGCAAACTTTTCACTACCACGAAAGAGAGAGGGAAAATCTGCAAGACAGAAAAGAGGGTCCTGGTAAGAGAGGAGCTCCTCCTTCACTCTTTTTTTTGGTGGACATAGAGTGCTCTCTGGATGACGGTATGTGCAAGCCACGTGTACGTTGCACTCCTTTCTCATTGCCTGCAACAGGTACACCTCGCCAACGTTTTATGGGCATTCAGAATTCACTTAACTTTTGGGAAGCATTATTGTTCAGCCAACTTGAAGTAAAGATACTAGTTGTGAAATTGCAGGGGACGCTTCATTGACCGTTCTTTCAACATCGATCTGCTTTCTTGTCTCTACACGATGGACCGGCCAGTTCTCGAGTTTCCCAGGCTCTCTCGCGTGCCCCATGAAAGGGCGTACACCGATTTGCAAAATGATCTCCGGTGCAGAAGTGCTGCTTACATGAACGAGATTTTATGGTAGTCACTTGTATTCCCATTCCTACCCTGTTGTTTCGAATTTCTGAATACTGTTGATAATAACTCTCACGTAACATTTTATGAGCTTGACGTCCAATGCTCAGGTTTCAACACTCGGACAGGAAATAAACTAAGTTATACCTATTCTGATTTCAATATTTTACAACGCCTTGGAATGAGTAATAATAATAATTAAATATTTATTTGCATACAGAAATGTCATCCTGGGTGGCGTGCAAGGCTGTGCAGAAAGGTTAGAACCCGTTTGTGAGTGCGCCTGCCAGGCTATCACCCAAAATTTGAATAAAAAAAAATGGAGGCGAGAAAAAAATTTACGCACACGTTCATAAAAAAATTTTGTATACGAGGCAGCAACAAAGAAAAAGGAGGGTAAAGTGTAAAGGCCTGTTCACACTCTTGCGACCAAATAAGACCGAGAGAGACCAGATCGGTTTTTAGGCCTCTTGCGATCTCTTAGGACCAGCCCCGCTGCAGCGCATCCGGTTCTAAGAAGTCGCAAAAGGCTTAAAAACCAGTCTGGCCTTTCTTGGTTTTACTCGGTCGCAAGAGTGTGAACGGCACTTAAAGGGCCCATGAAACGATTTTTGGGTTGGGATAAATCATTTTAGATTGGGATTTTACTAATAGCACATCGTTCAGTGGGCCAAAAGAAAAAGGTAGAAAGTCAAAAGCCTGACATTCAGTGCGAAACTTTGAAAACACAGCGGACTATTTCGTTCCTCCTCCCCTTCGTAACCGCTCTGCCTTTTCAATGGGATACATCCGCGGTCCCAAAAGCGTGTCATCGGGTCCAAACTCACGTCACACGAAACCGGACCTCATTTAGTCCCTTCACCCCTAAGCTGACATTGTGGTAAAAGCTACGCGCTTGCCGGACCAATCAGCCGTCTCCGTTTCATCACCTGACCTCATTCTCTCCAGCCACATTTGCCACGCTCAAGTGGCAAAAGTGTGGTTAGCCCAAGGAGCACGTAGCTTCCACAGCACTGTCAGCTTAGGGGTGAACGGGGTAGGGAAAGAAAATTTTGTCCGAGTTTTGAGCGACGGGCTAATCTTCTAGGGGGACAATGGCTCTCTCCGAGCGAGAGGGGCCTTGCTTCTTTTCGTCTTCTTGAACTGTTTGGTGGAATCCGCGATTTATGAGTTGAGGAGGAAAGCGAAATAGGAAAAAGTTGGAAAAGCATTTCATGACCCCTTTAAGATTACTCCCACATATATTGCACATTGTCATCACCAGCATCTCCATTCTTAGTACCATTTTATGTCTGTGTAATCATGTTAAAATTGTTTTATTTTGTTTTTCTGAGTGATAAGTTTCGCATATTGCTATAATAATTTCTACCATTTCTATTAGTTTTCTGCCATTCATAAGTGCCCCGATTTATACTTGGTGAGGTTTCTGCTCCAAGATATTACCGTAATATCCCGAAAGATAGCCCACCTAAAATCAAAATCAAATCGGGTGAAAATATGGAGTGGGCTAACTTTCGGTGTGCAATAAAAAAAAGTTGATAAAATGCTATTTTAGGTCTGGTGTCCTTTCCAAGCTCGTTATCATGGCGAGGGGCAACAAAGCAAGGATGACTGTACTTCCCAGTCTGCAACGTTAGCTTATATTCCACCACAGCTAACTAACCGCATTTATGCCGAAGCCATCACTGGTCCCAACACTACTATCACTACGACTGGGCTATCTTTCGGTGTTTCAAAAAATATAGCTACCGTAATATCCCTATTTTTCTCTGCGTATCTAGCGCTGATGCACAAGAGATACATCAAACTCAAAACTCGATTTAGTTTCATTGTTTTATAGAAAAAAAAATGCTCACGAAAGAATATTTTACTATAGCGAACTCCGTTGCTTGCATACGCGCTAGAAACACCGCCGATCTGCATATAGCACGAACGTTTGTTCCGTGAAAGAATGTCACCATTATGTTCTCCTAGTTGGTAAAAAAAAAAAAAAAGAAAGAAAGGTCTACAAGAAAATAGAGAAACCGACCAGGCGCAACGAGCGAGCGAGCGAGCGAGCGAACCAAAGAAGCGACCAAGAGCATGCTGGGAAAGCGGGAAAGCCGGCGGTCGCGTTGGCAAATACTTTGGCGTCGGGCCAAGTCGGGCGCCTTGTCAGTTGCAAGCTCTTGCGCAACTTTCTTGTTTGGTGCGTACATACGTGCGTCCGTGCACGGCGGGCTATCAATGCACGGTTGGGACGCTCTGCAAACGTCTGTGTAGGACGTTCCAGCAAAGCTTTATTTACGCTTTGGCTTTGCCTAAAATATTGCACAACAGCTGTCGCGACGGGCGGGAAGAAGGAGCGGGTTCGCGGTGACCTTACTTCGGCGGAGACAGACTGACCTAACACTCCGCGGTTACGTTAACAAACTCTTATTTTGTTATCTCCATCGTTTTCTTTTCGCACGGATACACGACCACTTTGGGGTCGCTCACGGAGGAAATGCGTAAACAAAAAGAAGTGTCTCTCCCTCCTTCGTTTTACTTTGTCACGGAGTCCTCCAACTGTATACGGTCCCCGGCCGCGTCATTCGGGTAGGATGAGTGTTCGCGGATCGCAGAGTCCGCGCTGGGGTATTTGAAGGGGTGGGCGATGACTCGGTGTTTTTTCGGAAATCGATATTGGCCCAAAAAATGGGGTGGGCGATGGCTCGGGGATGGGCGATGACTCGGGATATTACGGTAATCAAGCTAAAAAGTAGGAATGGGCTATATTTCGGGGGTGGGGCATCTCTCGGGATTTTACGGTATGTCATAATTAGCCAAATATATTAAATTATGCTATATATTTGAACTGTATTACTCGCAAGTCATGTTATTTCGCTGGTAATTTTTCCCTTATTACACTTTATATTAAAAAAAAAAAAATTTAATTTTTCTTTTTTAATTTTTTTTTATTTTCATATTAAAATGCTTTTGTCTATTTCGTTTTTTTATTTGGCATTCATATGTGCTTGCTTATTTTCTGGCCCTTGAGGCTGCGACAGAAACCTAATCTTGCCTCTCAGCCATAAAGTTTGGAGACCCCCGTTTTAAATTGTACCGCATGCAAAAGCTCAAACTTCACTAATTAAAGAGCACGGAGCACAAGCACGCACCACTACGAGTACCTACTTTGTTTTTCACACGGTTCACAATTGGCAAGAGAACACGACAGATACACAGACTAACACTCAAGCTAGTGCCTGCTTCCTTTTTTTTTTTTATACTAAACAAATCCTCGCCATAACAAACACATGTCTCATTAACTTCACGCGCTCAAGAACGGGAGGAATCGGCAACACCGCACAATCCGCCTTTGTCTTTCGGGAGTGAAAAGAAGAGAGTAAAGGCCTAATACCCCCCGCCGCCATCACCGAGTGTGGGTGAAGTCGCAGCAAGAAGGGCGACCACCAGTCGCACAATCGCTGCTCGCGCGCTCTATCGATGCACACAGCCCAAGTCAGCGCAACTACGAAGCTCTCGCCGCACACGTTGCGGCCGTGCTACGGTGCCTCGACCGCATCTCTGGCCGATGCGTCCACCGCGTCCTCAAACGTACTCCCTCGATTCCTGCTCGACGACGTCGCAGAAGTGTCACTACGCTGCCCGTCCTAGTCCTGGCTTCTTTGACGTCGTATGCCATCGCTCTGGAATCACCTTCGGTATGCGCAGTACGCGGAGAGCAAGTAATCTGCTTTTTGCGCAAGAGTTGCGGCGACGTCAAAACGACGCCGAGCTACGATTGGCTTTGATTGAAAGGATGGTGTGTAGACCTCAATGACAGATGCCTCGAGGTCTACCCACTATTTTTGTCAATAGCCTCATTTACATGAAAGCGACTTCAGCGCATCGACTCCACTCGTTCTTCGAACGAAACCGATGCGGCAACGTTTACATGAATGCGCACCAAGCCCTACACGAAGGTGGCGCCACACCGTGTCAAAGCTCGAAGTTATGCACTTCCGGAACCAGCCGCACCACGTTTTCCAGTGCATCGCACGCGAAGGCCTTTCGACGCATTCAGTGAACCTAAAGATCGTGCCCGCTGCCTTCGGTGCTGCGGAAGAAGTTACGAGACGGAAGAAACATCAAAACCCAAGCGTTTAGGGCACCAGGCCGGGCCGCTGGGTCACTCTGGACTAGAGGCGACGTGTGTACACACGCTTTGAGGAAGCCTCCGAGCTTCGCCGCGCCAGACCTCGCCGATCGCGACCGGACCAACCGGACCCCGAGTCCGAAAGGCTCCTGTGCAGCCAGGAACGGCACCGAGGTAGGAGCTGCTCATTCTGTGCTACCATGCAGTGCTTTACAGTGCTCGGAGCTCTCGGTGTCGTTCGTGCTTACGCCGAAACCTTTGGGACCCCTTCGGACGCGCAAGTCGTACTTCGCAAGACTTGGACAGGGGCCGCCCTCATCGAGCAGCTCCGCTATATTCCGCTTACTTATGATGGCAATAAAAGCTGGCGTTTGTTCTCGGGAAAAAATTGCCGGCGGCCATACGGGACTGCTCTCCGCACCGCCGACGAGGTTGGCCGCCGCCAGGCTTTCAGCTGTTCACTCACTCCCGCAGCGAGCGCCTTCCCATAATCCTCACAGTTCCAAAATGCAATGCGACCTCCGTTTACATGGGCTGAATGAATGCGCACTCGCCATCTCGATCCACCTCTGTCTGGCGGCTTGAATGCGATGCGCTTTCTTTGCGCATTATGTTGTTTACATGACCGCATTGGATGCGACAACTGGATTCGATGCGACTAAGTTGCATTCATGTAAACGCGGCTAATGAGCCAATAAGAGTTCTGCGTTCTGACATCATCGCAGCCCGTGTGCGAGAAGCGGACGAACTTGCACACTTGTGTTCCACACAGGACGCCAAACATGCTGGTCGGAGACGCATTCCAGGCACTGTGGCTGAACGACTGTGACGCACGCGGTCGCCCGGTGCAACAACGTCCCAGCGGAGCGGCCTGTTGCCGCCGCAAAGCTTCAGGTGGTTCGCGCGGAACGGTCGCACGTCTTCCGGTGTCGCTGCATGCTGCTCTTCTGACTGAACACCCGGCCGCAGCGGCCGCACGTGTACGGACGTTCACCGGTGTGGGTCCGCCGGTGCGAGAGCAAGGCCGAGGACTGCGTGAACGCGCGGTTGCACTGCCGGCACTGGAAGGGTTTCTCGCCGGTGTGAACGCGTTCGTGACGCACCACGTTGCACTTGATGTTGCTCGAGTAGGGGCAGTAGCTGCACACAAACCTGCCCTTCCTGGAGCCGTTCACGTCCCTCGGGAGGAGGCTCCGCAGCTCCCCAGTCGGCGAGACCACGCTGTATTTGTTGCAGGAGGAGAGCTCGGCGTCGGGGACGACGTGGGCTGTCGGGGAAGGAATGCATTTTCGACGATTAGCTTCGACGCGCGTGGTGGCAAGACACTTATGACGGGAGACCCAAGACTGACGGACGTGGGACAGACAGACAATCTAGAGTTCCCAAGACTGTCTTCTTAAGAAATCCGTGGATGGAGAGACAAAACAGCATTCGTGGGACTTTGATGGATGGACAGACAGCTTAACGTTCTCAAGACAGTTTTCTTAAGACCTCCGTGGATGGAGACGAGGTAGTCTTCCCGGAACTTTTATGGGCAACATAGAAGAACTATCCAACTGGCATGTTGCTTTCGAGGAGACTTTAATGTCCTTTGCTGTACGTCTTGGGTTCATGTTACAAACTGCTGCCAACTCAAATACCTTACTTATCTCTAGTTAGTGTTTGTCACTAAAGTATACCATCAAGTACACAAAAAATTATCAAAAAAAAAAAAAAAGAATGAAACGATGAACAAGAATGTAGCACAGACACAAATCTGAAGTGCTTGCCTTTTATCCCGTACATCTTGTTGAGTGCTTTTTAATCATTCGGAATGCATATCCTAGCCAGACTAAAAGCATTAGTGAAAAGCTGATTTTGTCCACTTCTGCATTTATGGCTGAGTTGCTAGTGATACATGTCAGGAGAATATTATTTTACAAAAAAATGATACTTTTGTTACTTTCTTCTAAGATTTTACATATAGAAATCCATCTTCCTGCTATCACTCTCTGATCTTCATGTAGGGGTTAACAATTCGGTAAACTATGCGCGAAATTTTTATTTCACGTAACTTTCAGCCTACACGAAGCCAAGCACAAGACTGATGCGAACAAGCCAACTTATGCAGTGTCATGCCTTGGCATTAACTATTGGGCAAAATATTCTCCCCAAAAAGTATAACCGCATATAAAATCAGAATGTTTGTGCACAATGAACCTGTTTTTCTGTTTTGTATCATGATTGTTTTAATTTATATTTATCCTCATACAAGAACAGCAGGAAGGAGCATGAAAAAAAACAAAAAAACAAGATCATAATATTTCCATCATGAGGTACACCTAATGAATGGGCAGTAAATGCAGAAACATGCATCTCCGATGTAGAGACCAACAGTTAAGTATAAATCAAAGATAATAATCGCAACGAAATTCCCGATACGGGTGGATTTCGTTGTCAGTGCCATTGATTGTTAATAAAAGCTGGTTGAAAGCAAAAGCTGCTTCAAGTCTTTCATACAGCTGTATAGGCATCCATCTATATCTGTAATAATGTAATATCGTAGGAGATGCGAGAGCACGGTAAATTGAAGTATGTTCTAAATGAGGGGTCTCCAAACTCCAACCAGCGAGCTGGCCGTGGCTGGCTGCAGTTCTATTAACGAAGCCCGGCCTGCGAATAAAACTAGAGAAAACTGCCAATCATAAGGCGCATCTTTCGTCTTATTATTTATTGGACATTGTCATCATCATTCTTAGTCCCGTTTCATATCTGTGTAACTATGCATGTTAAAATTCCTTTGCATTTGGAGACCCGTTCTAAACCGTACGACTTGGAAATGTTGACACTTTACTTGAATACCAAGCATGCGCTCACACCGACACAAGTTTCTACCTTGTTTTCCATACAGTTTGAAAAAGGAGAGAGTACATGACATATTTATAGACATATACTCAAGCAAGTGCCTGCTCCAAATTTTTTTTTTTATTACCATAAGATATCGCAGAAGCGCCCACTATTAAAATTTCCCACACTTGAGAATTCTGCAAATTATTCGTTAACTGCCCAATTTGACTGGATAAGTGCTTGCCCATGTCTAGATTAACCCAATTTTCAGTAAAAGTACTGCGGGTACTTCGCCGGTATTTTACAGTAATGCAATTGAGTCTGGGTAAGTGTCCATTCGACATTTTACAATACTTAGTGTTGTAAAAATGCAATGAACAAACAGAGAGGCTGCTTGTGCTACGCGCAATCCGTCTTCGGCCAATGCCGATCAATTTTTTAGTTGCCATTCGTAACACGCGCTGAACGACAGGAGCAAGTGACAACACTGGACAATCTGCTCTCTGCAGGCCTGCAGGCCTTCCCTCCGGGCAATAAATGACACAAAAATGATGACAGTGAGTCCCCAAGATTCCTCGTCCCGCCGAGCTCAGGTGGAGTTGGCAGAAGAGGGCGACCGCCAAACGCAAAATCGTTGCATCACGTGCCCGGTCGTCCCACACGCGACCGCAGTCGACACACTCACGAAGCTCACGCCGCGCACGTCGCAGGCAAGTGCTGCCACGCGCGCAGTTGTCCGGTGCGAGGACGTCTGAACCGAGCAGCTCGTCGTAGACGCGGGGCTTCGGCCAGGTCACACGAAGCCGTCGCACCTGTTCCAGTGGCGCTGCATGTCGCCTTTTCTGCTGAACCCTCGGTCACAGCGGCCGCAACGGTACGGGCGCTCGCCCGTGTGTGTCCGCCGGTGCGAGATCAGTGTCGAGGACTGATTGAATGCCCGGTTGCAGAACCGGCACTGGAAGGGTTTCTCGCCGGTGTGTATGCGTTCGTGGCGCTTGACGTCGAACTTGTTGATGCTCGAGTAGGGGCACCGGCTGCACTCAAACTTGCCTTTCCTGGAGTTGTGCGCTTCTTTCAGGTGGAGGCTCAGCAGTTCTCGGTCGGGTAAGAAGCAGCCACACTCGTAGCAGGAGGGGAACTCGGTCGCCACGCCCGGAGCGGTCTCTTCGTAGGCTGTCGGGGACAGACGATTCGAAAGGTTAGCTTCGACGCGTGCAGCAACGGGACGCTCGCAACGGAGGACGAAAAACCGGGGAAAGAGGGACAAGCAGACGGTGCGGAAGCTTCAAGACTATCTTCTTGAAACTTCCATCGACAGACAGACGACCGAGTCTCAAAGCCATCTCCTCGAGACTTTCGTGGACGACAGTGTATAAAATACTTTTATCTCGTACACTGCCTTTGATGAAACTTCAATGTCTCTGCTCTATATTCTGGATCTGCATCGGGAGTTTTCTTGACCGACCTACGTACCTGCCTCATTTCTGATGAAATGTTAGTCTCTAAGGAAAAGTTTCGTGCACACAATAAGTGGCGAGAAACGGCGTGAAATGACGAACAGGGGGAATGTAACGCAGACAAATGTTGTGTGTTTGTGTTCCGGTTCTTCTTCAACCCTGCTGTGCTATATTTATTTTTTTATAACGCATCTCCTAGCCTGACAAAAAGCTTTAGTGAGAAGATAACCTCGACACCTTCTACATTTATGGTGAAGTCATTAGTGATTCGTGTCAGAGGTGTTCTATTTGACCAACACGGACATTGCTTTACTACTTCGCTCGGCTGTTGGGGTTGAGTTTCATTATAATTCAGTGAAGTTGGCACCAAAGTTTACAAGTATTTCAGATAGTTTCCAGCCTAGAAAAAGCAATGCACAAAATCGTCTCATGTATAAACTTGCAAAAGTGGAGGTCGACTACAGTGCAATCCACTTATAACGATACCACATGTAACAATATACCGCTTATAACAATCAGTTTTTGGAGTTTCTAGACAGGAAATTATCAGTTTCTAGTCCAGATACAACGATAGTCGGTTTTAATGATTGAAATATTGGGTTTGCTCATTATCATTATAAGTGGGTTGCACTGTACGTCTAAAACTGTTCACAAAAAGTTGCAGCTACACACAGAAACACAATGTTCTCAAAGAATGTACTACTTATTTCCCCGTTTCGTGAAATAACTCCCGCTTTATTCACGTTCTAAATATATTTCACCCCACACAACTTGCAGATCATAGAAAACCATGAAAGGGTAACATGGTAACACTGGCATGACATTTCAAAAAGTACACACCAAATGAGCAGGCAGTACACACCAGAAGTTGACATTCCAATATCTCAGAAACAGGTAGCACCAATTGCAAATATTAACCACAACCAATCACAGACGTGGCTGGATGAATTGGCAGCCTTAGGGTCAACCTCAAGTAAAAACACACGCAGTATCATCACAAGCAGGATACACAGATCAAAAAAGTAAATACAGAGTTGTAAAATACGCTGATATAAAAAAAACACTGAAGTTCCGCCCCTCCCCCCTAAATTTTTTTTTTCTTAAACTGCCTGGAAAGACCATGTCCATGTTGAGAGCCATTTTACCAAGTCATCGAAACAAAGGGCTCCGATAACGGCTCTGTCAGTCTCCAGCCGCGAGAGGCAGCAGTTCATCTCCATCCAGCTGGAAAAAAGAAAGTTTGACTCACAATGTTGCCACATGAGTTGGACGAGTATGCTACATGTGGAGAAATAGAAAGTGACACCCACAATTTTCAAAGTAACCGACGCCACGTGGAGGAAAACTGGGTTCGAGGACTCCCAGGCCGAAACTATGTGTGCAATCAGGCAAAAGGAAAGAAGCATTTTAGAATGAATTTGGGGGCAAAACGATAAGCCAAAATAGGTAGAAAAGAGACCAGGGGAGCTCAATTTAGGTCACCGTTCCTCAATGGAGCCAGCAGGACCAATCAACCTCGACTGAGGAAGTGACCACAGTCGTTTGGGCAGAAGCTCATGCACTTTTATGACAGAACCTCCTGAACCGGTGATTCTTAGAAGTGGTGGATTCGGATGAAGTAAACGCTATACACGATTTCAGTTTTAATCCGACCGCAGCCGACACTACGATACGACGAAGCCAATCGAACAACACCAAAAGTGTCATAGCGGCAGTCATCGTTTTTGTGCATCTGCTATGGACGACTAAACCAATCACTCACAGTAAGCGCACTGCGACCCTGCACTTTTTTTTATGTCCGTGATTGCTTTTGCCGGGGATGGCGAACCCACAAGGACCACGAATGACGTGAGGACTAAAAGACGAAAAGGGTATAAAACTTTTCACTCATTCTTGAACTGTTGATGACCACCGTACGAGTGCTCATCGTTGTACTCTGGTCTGTCATACCATTTTTTGTGACTACCACATGCTGGCCACTTTATTGTTTGCACTATGAGTCCTGCCGTGGTCCCCAGGAGGCAAGTAATGGTTAGTTGCCTGTTCATTCATCCAAATGCTACGTTGTTCGCCCTTGGGAGTAAAAAGGAATTTGTGGGTGCGGATGCGCCGAGGCCTTCGGAAGACTGCTGCAACATGCCAGAAGTGCGCGCACCCTATAAGTGAGCTTGTGCTCGGAACTCGCTCTCGATTTGGGGCAGAGGCCAAAACAGAATATTTGAGGTATGGACTCCAAAGTATCCAGAGGGTACCATACGCATATAGCGGCAAAATTGTTAGCAAGTATTTGGCCACGCCAGTACCTATTGGTGCCTCCCTCTATCCTCGGGGAGTACAAACAACTCAACTTGAAACCATGGTTCTCCTTCTATGCTGTGGCTTAGAGCCGGCCCTGCGATGACTAGACTAAACTGCAAAAGACACTATTGTACACGCTTGCTGTTACAAAGCGCACTGTTCCGCCACCTTCAACTATTAGGAGGATTATAAAGATACCCCTAAATGCCATATTATGTTGTAGAAAAAAAAAAATAAGCAGGACAACCTCCTCTTGTGAAACCCTCCACTCTTTTCACTTTTTCAGAACTATACTCCATGTCACTATTTATGTACAGTGCAGGCGAAGCCAAGGTTAGGTGAAGAGAGAAAGGGCAAGCACTAGGAAGGTGGGACGGGAGAGGAGGGCATGGGGAGAAAGGGAGAGCACTAGAACGTTAAAGAGGTTTCTCTCCTTGTCCCCAGCCTTCCCAGCACTTACCTTTTCTCCCCTCGCCTGGCATTGTCTTCGCCTGTACTGCACCCCACTACCGTAAAGTTCCGAAAGAATGCTTACCCCTAAGAGACCGCCCATGCCGTTTTTGTTTACTAAATATTCACAACTTAAAAATCCTGAAACGTCGCCCACCCCCCGGTTCTTATCGGACGCCACGCGATGTGCAAAGCAAATCGCATCAACCTCGCAACTTGCTGTATGTCTGACAATCGAGTTCATAGCGGGTTCCCGCATTTTTGTCCGCAATCTGCGTGCGCGATATTGTCTCCCGTAACACGCGAGTTGCTCCCGCGTGTATGTTGCACCCTGAAATGCGAATCTTCTGCGTCCACAACCTGCGGTATCCGTACGTGTGACATAAGAATTGTATCGGATTCCCGAGTTTTTGTCCGCAATCTGGGCGCGTGATCTCAATTACACGCGAGTTGGCCCCGCGTGTATTGCATCGTGACATATGATTCTACTGCGTTGCGCAACCTACGGTATTTGTTCCCGTAACAGAGGAGTTTGTAGCGGATTCCCGAGTCTTCGTCCACGACCTGCGCGCAATATCAGTTCCCGTGACCGGCAAGTTTTTAGCAGGTTTCCGCATGTTTATTGCACCATAAACCTTCAATCTGCTGCGTCCACAAATTGCGGTATTTGTTCCTGTGAGATGCGCGTTCTCGGCGGGTTACCGCGGATCCTTCGCACCGTGAAACGCGAATCTGCTGTGCCCGCAACTTGCGGTATCCTTTCCCGTGACACGGGAGTTCGTAGCAAATTCCTGCGCGTTTATCACATCGTGAAGCACATTTGCAGTGTCTGTGATCTGCGGTATCAGTTCCCGCGTCACTTGGTTAGTAGCCGGTGCCTGGGTGTTTATTATTAGTTTTTTGATAAAGTTTTGCTGTTGCATCCCTAAAGATAGCCCCACCCCATGTTTTTCACCATTTCTCTCATCATTTTGGGTGGGCGTTCTTTCAGAACTTTACGGTAGTAACACGGAGTATGTGTAGAGCAAGTCGTCTGCTGCTTGCGCAGGAGTTGCGGGTGACGTCAGACTGATGCCGAGCTCCGATTGGCTTTGATTGAAAGAATCAGTGGGTAGACCTCAATGCTAGATGCCTTTGAGCTGTACCCACCATTTTGTTCAGTCAGCCAATAAGAGCTCGGCTTTCTGACATCCTTGAAAGCCCGCGCAAGGAGACGAACTTGCGCTCCAGATAGGTAGAGTTCATTCTGGACGGAACTATCGGTGACTATACGCCTCGCAAGTAGGCTCAATTTCGTCTTCTGCGCATAAGAAAGGAAGTAGCGGTGACATCAGAACGCCGAGCCATGATTGGCTGATCGCGACCCCCTATCTCAGCGTCGTCTGCTCCTTTGCAACGTAGTCTGCTCGCAACGTCGTCTCCGTCTGTCTTACCTTTCCTGCGACTTTCGGAAGTGCAGGTCTTTACGAGCGAGCTCGACTTCGCCTTTCAGAGAGGGCAGACGAAATAACTCAAGCGGTACGTTGTTTTTGTCTAACAACTAGCAGATGCGCATCAAGGAGGGAAGTCATAGGACTCACTGGCGAGGTGTCCCGAGGCGCTCAGGTTTGTTTGCTAAGAACCGAGAATGAGCGTGTTGGTGTCCCGCAAGTTCCCTCCCAAATACTTATTTCATCCTTTCGTGTGCGGCGAGACCCCTCACTCTTTAACGGCGTCTGCGGCAGGGTGTAAGATAGACAGGTCTGCAGCCCGCGGGTTGGCGCAGTTAACGTCGTCTGCTTTACGTCTGCTAGTCAAAGCGATGGCTGCTTTACCTTTCCTGCGTCTGTCGGAGATTCACCACTTTTTCACCGGCGACAGTCACCGCTGCCTCGGGAAACAGGGAGGTAACAAGAGGAAGAAATTGACCTCTTAATCTAAAATTGAGGTCAGCGATCAAAGTATAATACGGGAAGGGTTCACAAGGGTCGTGCGGGCATATTCCATTCAGCACGCCAGCCAGTCGTGGGCAGATGGTCGCCGAGTCGCCGAGTGCCTGTAGGCCTAACTGCGGAGCTCGCTTCGTCGGTGTCGGTGGAACCGTGGCCGTTGGAGCTTTTCCCGGGTGTTTGTGGATCCAGCGTTCTTGTTCGTCGTGGTCTGTTTCAAGTAGTTTATACTTTTTTCTTGCTGCTTGAAGTTGGGACGCGTGAGAAGCGCACGTAGAAAAATAAACGTCCGTGGGTCGTCGCGACCGCGACGCTGTCGGCCATGCTGATTTGATCGTAAGAAGTGCGTAAGACAGCTTCGGAGCTGTCGTACACTGTTAGCGAAAATGTAATATTTCGCCTGTTTACACCCCATTTTCACTCGTTAGCATATTTTTACACGCTCTGCTAGTGATAAATCGTCAAAAAATTACTTGGGGTAGTAAAAATTGGTGTTTCGTGTTCGGTTTACACGACTAGGCGTGTAAGCAACACTGAAAACACCCCAGCCCAACACCCCAAAACGTCGAGCGCCATGTTGCTTCTGCCTTGAAGCGGTACGGCGGACGTAGCAGCCGAAGGTGAGTGTTTGATTTTTTTTATCAAGTTTGTATAGAATGTAGCACGTCTCAGATTTTAATTACATGACATTCAAGAACGTTAGATTTGCTTTGAGCAAGCCGGCTCAGGCGTTAAGCCCGATTCACACAACCGGCGTTTAGCCACCCCATCGATTGGAAACGACCCGACTGCTCGCCGGTTCTTTTGCGCGAGCTTTCGCTCGGGCGTTGTGAACCCTATGAACTGTGGTGCTCAAAGCTAGCACAATTAGGAACGGCTAGCGTCCCGGTGGAAGCTGCAGAGAGCGGAAACCGAAGACACCGTCGCATAAGAGTGGCGAAGCCGCGATCCTGCGCTGATCGTTGTCCCGCCGCTCTCTCCGGCAATATCGACACTTCGCTGCTGGGTGTCTCGTATTTCGACGTTTTAGAGAAACTTGGCATTGGCAAGCGCGAGGAGTCTCTATATCGTTTTCTCCGTCGCCTGCGTGGAGGAAACACGGTGGCGATAGAAACATATGCTCATGCAGTCAGTCAACTTGGACAATCCCCCTGTTCTTTCAATCCTATCGCATTCTTTGACTGCGTTTGTGACAACAACGTTTCCCCAGTGTGAAAGCTTTCAGTCACAACGGGCTACAAACTGGGTTGTGCATTGCATGTAGCCCTGAGGGAATTCTTCGCCGGAGACACCAGCACATTAGTTTCATTGGTAAGGTGACCGGCCACTAACGTGTTTGGCAAATGAAGCGATCACGGGTAAGTAGAAATGCAAACAATGTTGAATGAATATTAAGGTGGTTGTAGCCAGAGCCTGCCAGTTGAAATCAACCTTTAACAATATAGTCTGCGGTAACTTCTTTTTGCACTTAAGATTGCAATTTTAAACACAAAGCCACTCCACATAGCTGTCGAAAATCGTGTAAACAACAGCAGTCATCGTCCCCGGTTCGGATGAGCGAAGCCTTAGCTTGATGAAAAGAATGGCGGTCTATACTTCTTGGTTGTTTCAATCACAACCTCGCACAGCTGAACAGACAAACAAATCAAGGAAATATATCCCGCGCTGGCTTGCAAATCACAGCACACAAGGAGGG